TAACAAAATTTTGCAAGTAAAATAATTATATGTTGAAATAAAATAAAATATATGAAATGTTTTCCATCAAATCTGGTCAACACTGTAAATAACAAATAGGGGAGACTCGGGTTAGTCGAACCGATTTTTACAAAATTGGCTATAGCTCCTGGTTTTTTTAGATAATATAAAAACTGTATGATTCGTTACCTAAAAGTATACTTCATAAAGGTGCCTTATAGAAAAATTTAAGAATATAATCACTTTTTTAAATTTTATTTTTTTAAAAAGTGAAAATTTTGTCCAACAACTCCCAATCGCGGGGTGAGGCAAAACCACTTCAAGTGGCTTCCCATTCGTTTTTTAAGGCCTTAATAAATTGAAATGCATTTTTATTTATTAATAATGATACGTATAGAATATTTTTATTGTTTTATAGTTCAAAATATCATAATACTTATAAATTGAAGTTAATTATATATAAAAGTTAAAACTTAATTTTGGTAAATTTAATAAATATTTTGGACATAAAAAAATAAGGATCTTAAGGAGAGATTATTATTTTTTAGCATAAATCCTAAATACCAATCATAAAACAGCCATAAAAATGCCATTTCAAGATTTTAAAATTTTTTTCATTATTAACTCCATAATTGACGTGTATGGTAGCAAGCCCCGCTAGCTCTAAATTGATAAATTATGATTGAAATAATATCTAGATATAATAAATACTCATAAAACTTTCCCAAATTAGAGAAGAGTGTTTAAATTTTGCTATAAAATTTAATTTAGATATAAATGATTATACATTTTAATAAAAATTAAAATTTTGTCATGTAAAAATCTTTTGAAAATTTCATCAAAATTTTATTTCTTAAATAAAATCTTTAATAATTAAATATTTTAAAAGATATTTTGTCTATCGATGTAAACTAATATAAACTATGTTAGGATAAAATTTTAACCTTGTGGTGTATTTAATTTTAAAATGAGAATAAGGGGTTTACCAAGCCCCGGGGTTTATCTAACCCCATCTCCCCCTAATATTTATTTAATCAAACTTAAAACAAACCAAAGGGTCTCCTAGTTTAAAATCTGTTTAGCCTGGGTTAAAATAGAAATATGTTTCAAAAATAAAACGAATCAGGACAAGGCCTTAAAACTAAAACATACTTTAAAAGAATGAGTTTTTAATTATAGCAATGAGGTTAAAATGAGCCATTTACACATTTATATTTAAAATTATTTAAAATATTTTTTATATTATTTTTGAATAAATAAATTTTATTAAAGAATATAATTTTTTTGACCAGACTTTTAGTTCCAGCAACAACCACATCTATAGTTTACCTTCCCCATGCCATGTATGGCTCGGGGAAAAAAATATAAGGAGCCTTTTTTATCTAATTTAATCCCTTTTAAAGAAATAATAAGGTGTAACAAAATGTGATATTTTGTTATTAAAAATTACAAGAATTTTTTAATTATTGAGATTTTCTTCGTGGGTCTCGTTATAACCTCATATTTTCCTATATATTATATTAATATAAATATATTAAAAAACTTTTAATGAAATATTGAATTAAAAATAAAATATTATCAAATTATTTAGTCCAATTTCAATAATACTTATATTACAATGCTTAAAACAAAACATAAAAATCAATAAATTTTAGGTAGTTCAGTTGTAAGGCTGTAAGAATTAATATTTAATAGTCTTTATTAAATTTATTATTATACTTTATTTTACTGCAATGCAATTAAGTTTCGTTTTAAAATTTCATTATCTTCATCATTTTATATTTTTTTAAAAAAAATTTAGATTAATTTGAAATCTTAATATCTAAATAAAATTATTAATATTATCTTTTATACAGTTTAGTAAATAACCCGTTTATAAAGTTCACGCTTATTTCATCTTTTCTCATTTAATTTTTGATTTATTTGGGTCTCTGAAATCTCACCATTTACGATATTTCTCATATTGATAAAACATTTCCCGCTTTTAATGTTTTAAAATAATATTCCCGCGAATAAACGGATAATTTTACTAAATGAACGGAGGATTTTATTAAATTTAATTTATTCCTATATACTCTGATGAATTTTGAGTTAAGAATTATATATATTTTTAAAAAAATTAAATTTTAAATCTTGATCGTAATTATTATTAGAATCTATCCAGCAGGTGCGCATTGGAAGCCTAAAGGCCCAGTGGGCACATTTTTAAAAGAGGCCCCATATTTGTGGCGCTTTATTTCCAAAGCCCCCCTTTACGGGCCTACAACCCGCTTTTACCCGGCCTGCGCCCGGGAATTATATCTAATCCACTATAATAGAATTTAAAAGAATTCTTATCTTTTTAATATTTATGTATGATCCTTTAAAAGAAATACTAGTTCTTTGAGTTTGAATTCATTATTCTTCAAGTTTGAATTCATTATTCTTCAAATTAATTTATAAACTTTTTTGTGTTTAAAATTATTATACATTTTATTTCATTCAATTTAATAAAGAAATGATTTTAATTAATTTTCCATAATTTTTATATATTTAGGAATAATTATAATTATTATTTTTTTATGTAATATATTTATTAAATCTTTTCTGTTTTATATTTATTTTCTTTATTTTATATTTATATGGCACTTGCAAATAACGGAGATAAATAAATGGTAGGGAATCAGAGATAGCAATCTAAAGATGATTAGGGAAAAATAAAAAAATTAACAATATATTTTAAAAAAAATATTTATAAGAATTAAATAAAAGCTCTGGTAATATAATATTAGAAATATAAAAACCTAATATAATATTTTTAAAAAAGAAGTAAAATAATAATTCATTGGTGTGCTAATAGTGAGCTTGATCCAATAATAATATATCGCTGAGCAGGACTTGAAACCGATAGTTTTTGATTAAATCTCGCATCTGCCACAAAAGGTTTAACCTTAAAAAATTCGAGTATAAACTAAACGAGAATAATTTTCTTTATTGCTTAAATCTTTAATATCTAAAAATATGAATGCTAGATTTACATCAGAATCGGATTCAGTTTTTAACATATACTTGCATTTTGTAATCCTATATGTTAAAATCATACATTCCTAAAATAGGGGTTTTGTTTGTGTTTATTATTTTCATTTTGGTCTACTCCCATTACGTATTTATATACATATAATAATAATATTCTATTTTCTATATAAAAACTATAAATATTGCATGTATAATGTTAGCGGCAATGTGTTTTTTCCGGCATTGTGTTATTTTTACAACTTTCATTTTTTTGAGAGCGTTTTTTTTAAATTTAAAATCTTATTTTGTATTCTAGAATGTTTAGAATACCTATCTTATGAGTTGTAGATAATTTTATGGTTAACTTTTGAGCCATTTATAATTTTATATAAAAAATCTATGGAAAACGAATATGAATTATAAATTCATAGAGTATATATTCCAAACTTGATGGAATACATTTCTGGTAAAATCAGATAACGTGCTCAAAAAATGATTCAAAGTTGAAAATTAATACATTGCCAAAAAAATCAAATTGCCGCTATCATATATATTTATATAAATTAATTAGATATTTACTTGCGGCTATATTTTATGACAATAATACGAATAAAATTTCTTTCATATTTAATTTCTATTTTATCCACATTTTAAGAACTAATGAAAATAGGGATAATATGGTTTTATTATTCGACTGCTTGGTAGGAGAAAATCCTGACAATGCATTTATAATTTCTTTTTATTTCTTTTCCAACAGAAAATTAAATTAATATTTAATAAATGTTTAAATTAATACATAAAATTTACCAATCTTTTTAAAAATATATCTTCTTTCTTCCAAAATTCTTTCCTAAAGGCCCCCAAATTTTTAAAATCTCGAGGCCCCGTAAGGCATTCTCCAAAAGGCTTACTGGCCCACCCGCCCCTGCTATCCAGTAGAAAATGAACGACTGATAGGAAAAGAAGCTTACAATATTATCATTTTCTGTTATTAGGGCTCAATAGCTCTTCCCATATTATTTCTAATTTATTACAGTTGTGCAGATTTGAAGGAATATCTATATTTTTTTTAAACTTTATTCCCAAATAAAATTATTTAATTTCCAAAAATGGTTAAAATATAACAAATTTTTATTTTTAACAATTTTTACAAGTTAAATTAATTAAATTTGGAAATAAATTAAAAAATATGGAAATGTTTTTCATCAAATCTGCACATCACAGTAGTAACTTAAGCCTTTGCAAATTGAACGGACTCCGAAATTTATAAAAAAAATTATTAATAGTATATAAATTTTTTGAATTTCTATTTTTTTTTACTAATATTTGGTTCCGATTTCTAATATTTGCTAATTTTGGATTTGATTTCTTTTTTAATGCTAATTTTCATCTTTTTTTGAGCGAGGGCACAAAATGATATACCCCAAGCACTTCAACGTTATTCTCTTCAAAGAATGCATCTTAGATTATTCTAAATTAAGCATACTGGCTGATTACGCTACTTTATAATATGACAGCCTTTACATATGAATCTGATCAATTTAGGGAGAAATTTTGTTTTATTATAATTCATATCCCTTAATTTCTCAAATTATATTAATATTTCTATTATTAGTTTAGTTTATCATATTTAGTTTATTATTTTTCTTTAGTATTATTAGTTAATATACGCGTAATTGACATTTTTTTAAAGGGAAAATTATTTTAAAATAAAATTCTTTTTAAAATGTCATAAAAAATAAATGTCATTCAAAAATATTTTTGAAAATAAACCTTCAGATTGACAATCCGTTATTTAAATGTCGTTAAGCATTTTTTTCTTAAAAAAAATAAAAAAATAAAAATAATATTTTTCAGTTAAAAAAAAAATATATGTTTCTTTATTTTTGTTCAAATTTGTTAAAAAGTAATTGATATAAATCTCACTAAATTAATATATTAAAAAACAAAAAGAACTCATTTGTTTTTTGGCTTTCAGTTAACCGCTAATTTTTTTATATCGAAAATAAATCTTTTTTTTAGAAGAAATAATATTTATTAACAAGAGAAATATTGATAATATACTCTAGCGAAAAATAGCATGGAAACTCCGAACTTCACACCACCTTCCTATAATCTTAATCTCAATAATAATAATGAACACGGATCAGATCATCTGGTAGAAAACGATGCGTCATTATACGGTACCAATCCCGCGGAGACTATTATTTACAGGAAAGATACCAATAAAAATTCAATAGGCTTTAAATTATTGGAGGAGAATTTATGGCTCAAATTTAATTCGTTATGCAACGAGATGATCGTCACAAAAAATGGCAGGTTTAAATTTCTGATTATACCTAACATATTTTGATTTGCTTTTATTATTTATTTATAATTATAATTTGGCCATGACTGTTTTATTAGAGCGGGGTGAATATTTTTTTTATAGGGATAGGGGTAAACACCTCGAGAATTCAAATAATTCATTAAATACTAAAAAAAAAATAATACATGTATATATAAGTAAATATAAATAATTTTAAGATTATACTATATAATAAGGCGAATGTTCCCGATATTGAAGATTAATATATCCGGATTGGATCCAGATTCAATGTATTCGGTATTGGTCGATTTTGTTCAATTAGATGAACACCGTTGGAAATATATACGAGGTGAGTGGATACCTGGAGGTAAGCCTGAACCGTTGGTTCCGTCTATGTATTTACATCCTGACTCACCAAATTTCGGCTCTCATTGGATGAAGGAACCATTTACCTTCAGCAAAGTTAAACTGACTAACAAATCTAACGGAGGAGGACAGGTTTAAATTTGACCAATTATTTATTCTAAATATTGTTAAATGGATTGCATGATTGATTTGGTAAAAATCAGAGACTTAACTTTGTTTATTTGAGGCCGATCTTTTAAATATATGGCATGAGATAAATAAGGTTTGGTTTCAATGTGATCCAAAATCTTTTCCAAGATGCTTAATGAGTGTATACTATGCTAACACCTAATTTATAAACACTTGTTAAATGTTTTTTTAATGCAATTTAATTTAATGTTTGTTTCTTAACATTATTTGCCCCTATATTTTATTATAAAACCTACTCCCAGGTTAACCAATCTTAAATTTATTTATTTTTAACACGGAATAATGTAAGAAAAATAATTAAGTTAATTAAAAAATATTCTGTCGAAACTGCAGATCTCTGATATTTTTTTAATTTAAAAAAAAATTCTAATTGTTAACGAATAGTAAATGATAATATAATATACCCATTTCATTTTTTCTTATCAAATGTTTACTTTATTATAGCATACAATTAAATTCACGATTATTATAATTAGAGATTAAATAATTTCATAAAAGTCAATTATATATCATAATTCTTCAGGGAATATAAAAAGATATAAAAATAATTTTAAAAATAAACCAAGTTATAACTTGAGGTATATAAACTTATTCTCAATATTTAACCTAAAATCTATCTATTTTTTAAAAAAATAATTAAGATAATTAAAAATTAGTGTATAATTTATAATATTGTTTTCGTTTAATTATTGTACAAAACCAAACCATTATGATAATTAATTTATTATTTAATATACCAAAAATAATATTTTAAGATTGTTAGCTTTATTTTGCCGCCATATATTAATTATTATGGATTTACTTTTATGGGCTAGAGATAGAACAATTTATTATTATTATTTATTTTTTATAACCTCGACAATTTAAATTGATTTATAGAGTTGGTTAGTCAGTTGCCATAGATTTGTCTAAAAATATATTTGCCTGTTATTAAAAATGCAGGCTGATAAGTTATCACACTAATAGAAGCCTATTTAAATCTAACACTTAATCCCCCCCCCCTAAAATGATTAGGCTAGATTCTCCTCTTCAAAAAGTGATAAGGCGAATCTAAGACCTGTTGTTTAAAAATTGAATAATTAAATGGATTCCCTATGACCGATTAATCCATGTTATAATTTAAAACCATCAAATATTTGATTTTTTTTACTAAGATATTTATGGAAAAATAAAATAAAATTTATAGTTTTTTTTTCTCTAATTATGATAGATTATACTGAATTCTTTGCATAAATATGAGCCTCGAATCCATATCATGAAAGTGGGGATGAAAAATGAGAAAAGAACTATAGCTATCAAAAAATTTCCACAGGCCTCATTTATCGCTGTAACCGCTTACCAAAATGAAGAAGTAAATTAATTTTTTTTATTAATTTATGTATTTCATAATGAACTTCCGATTCCCTTAAGTATGGGCATAGTCGATCCAATTTTATTGTAGCCAACATGATCTTATATCATTTCTATTGAACGCTTATACATTATCAAACTTTTATAATATATGATAATATCTTCGTGTAAAATTATAAAATCCACCCTCAATATCTCAATAATAGGGTTTTATAAACCATATCGCTTCTTAAATCATTGACCTTTTATATTTAAATATTTTTTCTGAATATTATCAATTATAGCCATCATTTTGAACATATTGTATTCATTTTTTAGGTTGGAGGGTGGGGTAGTATAGGAGATCTTTATTAGCTCAAAATGATCATTCAGATAAGATGTAGATTTCTCAGGGAAAAAGTTTCCAGGCTCAACCTCTGCTTTCTTAATGGTTTACCAATTAGATGATATAAAAAAAATAAAACATAATTTGGACATTTTGGACATATAAAATATTGTCATTATGGCAGCACTTTATTGAATCATTTTGATTTAAATAATAATATTTCATGAATTCTATCAAAATTTATATATCCACCTGAAACGATGTATAGAATATACATTTAAAATCCATATATTCTTAGTTTAAATATCAAATATTTAGTGATCGAGGCACGTTGGTCCACTTTTTGTTCTAGTCTCAAAAAATTAAATTTATTAATGATAACATATTCTAATTCAGTGTAGACTATTTTATTAGATATAAATTTCCACTGTTATCCAATTAAACTTTAATTGGAGTGAACTGACGTTCCTCTAATGTCTCTCAGTTTCCCTAACTTTTTCAAAATTTTTTCATTTCTGGAAATATATTTTGGAAACGAATGAGCCATACCAAGGGTAAGCCTATGCATGGCACGAATCATATAAAAATTAAATTTATAAAATCTTTATTTATTTTAAAGAAAATGTGAAATAAATTTTTAATTATAATCTGATCATATTTAAAAAAATATTGATTTGTTACTTTTTTTTGTTGAAATTAATAACTACAATAAATTAATAATCTTAAAGTGTAAACATTTATTAAAAATTATAAAGTTCTAATTCTAAAGTTACTTTTGCAGGTATAAATCATATTATATATAATAAATTACAATTTCTGCTATCCAACATAAAAAATAAATTATAGCATAAGGGTTATAAAATTTATATTTATGGTAATAAAATTAGCCCTTAACGGTTAATACATTAGAGAGAAGAAAAAATGTCACCTTTTGGTTATACTGCATTAATATAGCCCGTCTCCTTTATCAGGAAAAAATGATATTTCCTCCTCCAATACAAAAAAATATTGATGCATATTCATTATTTGATAAAGAAAATTAACCTTTAAAGCTTAGTACTCCGGGGTCAAGGTTTGATTCCCTAAAAATATTTCAAAAAATGACAGTCATTTGATTTAAGACATTAAAATAGCTGAAGACATTGTATTGGAACTTAAGAAAAATTGGGGCAAATGTTAGATAACGAAATTCATAAATTATATTCCAGTCAAAAGCAAATCTCTATGAATTTAATATTTGTTTACCTCGTCTCGCAGCAAGGCATGCCCAACGTTTGAATATTAATATAGGGTCAGTCGAAGAATACTATAAAATAAATCCCTTCATCCCCCTCTTAGATACTTTTATAACTCAAATAATAAAAAGTCCTTGATTAATTAGGCAACACTTACAAAACTATAAATATTATTATCGCAGAATCCTTCAAAGTCTAATTCAAATCTAGGCAGAGAAAGAATTATTTATTTGGCAGGTTTTTATTGTGTTGATGTTAAAGTATCCCATAATATATTACAAGCTCATTACAAACTATGGTATAAAGGGCTAAATATGGTTGATAATGTTCCAAAAAATACTATGAATGCTTCGCATAATTTCAAACACATTTTAGACTATTTTCCTAATATATAAAAATTATTATGTATTTTGGCAACTCTACCCATTAGTACTTCTACCAGAAGGAAATTTTGTTCTTCAGCATGATAGTGTTTCTAAATGGCTCGATTTGAGCAGGTTTTTAGGAACGGCAAACTTTAGCCAGAAAAATATTGTCTAAGTTTCGAGATTTTGCTAATAGATCTCCAAATCTTTGTGCCAATTTAGATAAAGGCCAGGAAAAATTATTTTATTTTAAGGTGAATATTCAAGATAAGCAATAATCAAGATAAATATTTTATTTTTTTGTTTTTGTTAATAGATTAATTTTACAAAAATTATTTTAGATAACAATAAATTGTGACTATTATAAAGTTCTAACTCCACTTTTGTCGAAGTTAAGCAAAATTTATTTTTAGGACTCCTTCTACCCCTTTATAATTTAAAAATTTTTTAAATATATTATTTGTGTAATAATAATGTTAGCAAATGGTACGGTGTTTTTCAAAATGGCTATCCTGTAAAATTGATAGAGGAAGAGTTATAACCTTATAATAATCAAGGAAATAATATTTAGGTTTATTTTTAGTCTAGTATTGCATTTTGAAAGGATTTAGACTATAATATTTTTTAGGGGGAAATTAAATTTAGCAGATTTTATTGATTATATTATATAATTAGCGAAGAGTTGTCTATAGTTTATTATATAAATATAATTTTACTTGTACAATATATATATACCCCTCACTCATAGGTGTATCCATTATTTTCCAATAAGGAAAAACAATATTAGGCGGGGTTTCCATAAATTTTATTGGAGGTCTTTAAGTATAGTTGTTGCAGGTCTTTGGCTATATTATACTTTTATAAAAATAACTTTGGGTTTTAACCTATATTTTTATAAATATGTTTTTTTTCTAAATATTTTGAATTATTTTAAAAAGTTATTAACTATTTCTAATATTTCTTTCAAATACTTCTTATAGTGATATATTGTATATTTTTTTGGAAAGGGGGGGGGGTGTAAGGGGAAAATTTTTATTAGCTTAAATGATATTTACAAGAACATGCAAATTTGTATTCCATCCTAGCACCGGAGCAACTGAAAAATAATACCGATATTATCTTATATTAGTTATTAAATCCAAATTTATAAATCAAATATATTTTTTGAAATTTACTAGACCCCTAAAGGGTACTCATCTAAGACTAATCCAACCGAACTAAGATCGGTTAGACAAAGGTTATGACTCAGTCTGGTCGAATTTTTAAAGTTTTAATCGCTTTAGACCAAAATAGGGCAAGGTTCTCTTGAACCGGGCTAGACTTGACGTTTATAATTTACCGCTTTTCTCATGTAATAAATAAATTATGAAATTCTAAGACTTCCTATAATTCTAAAAATTGTCGGTCGTATCGGTCATCAATTCTTTTTAAATTTTTTCTCGTTCAGGTTAGAAAAACTAGGTTCCTTGCCGGCTATAGTTTACCATTTTTTAATAAAAATGCACTTGTACAGCCCAATGATTATATTATTCCTTACTCAATCCAAATTAAACAAAAAATAAAGCAAAATTTCCCTTTTACTTTTTGTTTATCCTAAGGACTGCGCCTTCATAACTCCCTAATCTTCTTCGATTTTAATGATGAACGCGCGTCATACTCACCTCTCTCCTTGTTGCCTATTTCTTGCCAATTTAAAAATCTATAAATTTCTTAGTATTAGAATCCAAAATTCGTATTTTTTTTCAAGGACTTTTTTTTAAATTTTGTTTTTAATATTAATATATATTTTAAAAAAAATATCTAATAAAATTTACGATTAAATTTAAAAAAATGGCTTGCATAATCTTATTTCTTATTTTATAAGCAGTTAATAAAAATGGGATAAAAGTTTTAAATTTTAATTATTATTTTTTTTAACTTGCCATAAATAGCCGCTTGTTTCTTAAAAAAAATTTAGAAATATATATAAAACCATTTTAAGGAATATTAAATTTTTTTTAAAAATAATGATTATAATATAAATGTTTTTATCGACTCTTGTAAGTATATGAAATATACTATATGAATTACAAGGTAAAATTTAGAAATCAAAAAAGGTAATATTATATTACCGCTCGTTTTAATGTTTTTTAAAAATCATATTTTAATTTTTTCTTAAAAAAAAATATTTCCAAGCTTAAGCTAAAATATATATTTTTTTCATTAGTTTTAATTTTTTTATGAGATTTATATATCAATCTAAATAGAATAAAAAGAACAATAGAATGATGAATTTAAGGAGAATATTAAAAATCGTGATTTTATATACCTCTTGTTCGAGACTTAGAAATAATGTTCAATAAACCTAATATATATAAAAAATTTATATTACCCCTGCTGTTTTGTCTTCTTAAAGAGACTAATTAAAAGGATGAGTCAATTTGGCAATAAAATTAGGTTGTCTTGGTGTTTTATTGGAGAAGATAAAAAAAACAAAATATTTTTAGATGTTAATAACTTATATCCGTTATATTTAATGTATATATATTTTTTTTACATTGACAATTCGACACATTTAATTTTATCCCATTTCTCATTTATACATACATATTTTTTAATTCATTTTTTATATATCATTAGATTTTTTATATATATATTTTTAATTATAATTCGTAAATGAAAAATTTGTGAAAATTTATTACTTAAATAAAACTATATGATTAAAAAAAATATACGATATTTATTTTTTTAAAATATAATATTTTTAAAAAAAATTATATGTAGGACAACTTAATATCATTTTCATTTGATAATCCTCTACTAAGTTATAAAGTTTTAAGAGTGGGTTCTTGTGTCATTTTGGATGCTGAGTTGAATCGCAAACAATGAATTTCAAATGACATCGTTTAAACTGACGCGATTCTATCTTTGCGTCAAACACCATATTAAAAAATCGCTAATAATTGACGATCGCCTCAATTAAAATAAGATTATGTACGTTTTTAAATCTCTTTTGAATCACAATATTAATAGTAAACACTCAATTTGAAGCGCTATAAATTAGAATACAAGATGTAGACAGCTGACGAGCCCAGCAAAGCACAATTTTTTAATAAACAGAGTGAAAGAAGGGTTGGGAAATCTATTTATTATAAAATATATATAAGCCATATTGCTCATGCTTTGCTCCTTTTAATGGTTTCCTCAGGGGTAAAAGTTAACATATAAACAATCAGAAAGATCGAAAAGAGATTAATTTTATTATTCAAAAAAGTGAATATTCCAATTAGTAATTACTCTTATTTTCTAAATAAATAATTTATTAAATTTAATTTTCAGATAACCTCCCTAAAAATAAAGTTTAATCCCTTTGCCAAAGCTTTTCTTGACAATAAAGACCGTTCCTATTCAAGCGGAGAGGAAAATGAAAACCAAAGTATATAATATATTATAAGAATGATAAAAAAAATAAAGGTTTTAGTTAATAAAATATCGAAATCTGCAAAAATAATATGCCATTCTGATTTTAGCATATTGACATAAATTATTCAAAAAATGATTATATATTTTACAATATTCTAGAAAAAAAGAAGTCAATAATTATATTAATGTTAAATCAATCATATATTTTAGTGAATAATTGGTACTATGATCCTCTTCAGACAAAAAAGTGTCCATCTACCGATTCGTTTAACACTGCGCAAACGTATTATAAAGATATCGCGAGAGTCAACAAAAATAAAAGACCGCTGGAAATTAGCGATAAAGATGACAACAGTAGTAACGATGGTTACCTTAATAACAATAGAAAGATTCATACCGCCGCCAAATCCAGAGAAAATTATTCGTCGGTTATCAATTATTCGGAATCTCAAATACCTAGTAATTTTAGACAGACTTATTAAATTATATAAACTAATTTTAAAAAATGTTGAAATTTATTTAATGTTAGTATATTTATATATAAGGTTACTAAAATTTAAATTTTGAATTAGTCAATTTAAATATTTTTTTAAAATATAATAATTTTCTTTTGTACCCTGGGTTCCTAATCCATCATTATTCAACCAAGTTATGCTCCTATAATGGCATTTTATTAACTAGAATTATCATAGTGCCAGATACTTATACATTCCCTACGGATATGAGTTATTCCCCCTACCCAATCAAATCATCAAAATTACCAAGAAAAGGAAACCCAGATCCACATTAGCAATAAAATGAAATAAAAATTAGCACACCCTCACTCCTACTCTTTTTATATTCATTTACTCCCCTCTTTAAACCCTAGGGTAAGATGTGCCCGTAGTCCTTCTTTTAGAAAAATTATTCATTAATTTTCTTTTCTATCTGCATTGGGTTTTCATAATTTTGCACTTTCTGTGTTTTTTATGAAGTCAAATTATCATTCTTTTATTTTTTTCTTCCTATCTAAGACCCATTTATTTAGCTTTTTATACCATTTAGATGTTTGGATAAGTTAAAAAGTCATTAGGAATTTTTAGTTTGAATGTAAAATATGGGAATAATTTGATTATCTAATAGAATAATATGTTTCAATAAAACTGATTAAGATTATGATTACATTCAATTAGAGAATTATATGATTTTGATAACTTAATATCTTCCATTGTAATGTCTATTTAACGTATCTATAGAGCTTAAGCTGCTCTAACTATTCTTAATTCTGAATAGAATCCTTAGTAGTGTTATATTAAGAAAAATGGTTAGAAGACTCTTTTTTAGTTGGTTTTTGGTGCTTTTTTTAATTTTTTATATTCTAAAAAGATAATGCTATTATCAATAATATTAAAAATATTAAAAAAAAAACCACTTGCTCTTTAATACTATATTTTATAAAAATTAATTTTGCCATTTTTAAAAATTCTTATCAGATATTATTATTTATTATATTATAATTTAACTAATTAATTATTAGATTACGACACTGAATCTTCTTACTCGATTGATCAGCAAAAAGTGCCATTCACCGAGAATAATCCCTTGTACATGTATTCATCATTAGAAACGAAAGAGCCTTCTTATATAAACTCTGTTTCCGTCAGTAACTTTAGTAATTATTCGGACACAAATTATATCGAACCATTTAACCTTACTAACGATATTTCCTCTTTAGTATCTTATAGTAACAATGCTTACAACAAAATATATCAAGGCGAGGGGGAAGATTTGACGTATCCCACGCAATCTCCATTTAGAAATGTGGTAGGGGGACATCATAACGTGACATCCCAATATCTTTATACCACAAAAAAACAGGACAGTTTAAAGGAGGAATCCGCTGGCGGCTATACCACTTCTTCGTCTAAAAATTCAAATTTTTTTAATGTCAGTTGTTTGTCTACAACTTCGCCCAACATTTTAGGCTTGTTTGATCAAAAGGTTTCGGATACTAACGCTTTCTCCATAAATAATAACAACGATTTTTCTAAAGAGACCAACCAATCGAATATGGATTCCTCTTCAAAATACCTTAAAAATACCTTGAATTTTTACGATAACTCGACAACGTTTAACAACTACAATTACCATTATTTGGCCGCTAAAAATCATTCTTACCCACACTTTAACAACCCCATGTATAATGTGTACGATAATCAAACACAGTATACCTCTTCTTGCGACCCTAATTCTTTAAGTTCGTTGAGTTATAATTCGATGTATTACAACGCGCCAATTTATTTTGATAACAATTTTGATTTAGTCACGGTAAACGACGCTTTGATGTCGCCTTACAATTGGCAATTATTAAATAAATCCTCCCTGTTGAGTGATTCTTTGCCATCCAATCAATTTTATAATGATCCCGATCAATCTACTATTTTGACAGATATTTGTGAAAAGGATTTAATTTTGTGTAATAATACCAACGAAATTCCTGTCAACTCAACGATTAATAATAATAGCGATGCTACCGCAAATATTGTGAAACAAAATCTCCGAAACGATTGCCATATATCAGCGATGCATTCTGCTGACAAAATTATTTATGGAAAAAATTCAATCAAAGATTATAATGCTCTAAACTTTTCGAGATTACTGAGCTGGGCTCCATTACCTTTGAATTAGCATGAATAAATAGATAAAGTTTTTTTTTACATTTTGTATTTAATAATAAAAATTAGAAAATTTTAAAATCACCATATTTATAAAATGAAAAGACTCTCAAACAATGCTGTTTGTTTTACTTTATTTACTTATATTATTCATTTACTTTATATGATATTTGAATGTGGAAAAAAATACAATATAATAAAATAAATATGGTTGGAAAAGTGTGTTTATAACATATAGATTCGTAGCCCCCCCCCCTCCCGCTGTTAGACCTCCGCTTTAACACAAAGCCTAAACCTTAAATAATAGTATAATAGTCTATTATAAAATTAAATATAAATATTAAATGTTTGTTTTAATGAAATTCGATAGTACCATTAGATTAAAATTATTTCAGTATATCCGCGTAATTTTAGTAATTAATTAAAAATAACTCAAGAATGTCTGATAATGTTGTCTGAAATTTATAGGATAGTTATTTCATACATACTGGAATGGAATGCATATTTTGGGCAAAATAAGATCAGATGTAACATTGAGCTAAGCAATATTTTTAACTTGAAATGTCTAATTTGGCCTGAAATGTATTCCAACATGTATAAAATTACCTTATAAATCAGTCAGGTATAAAATATTATAAATATTGTCTGATTAGCATTGCCTCTGACATATAACATGCCTAACCAAGCAAATGTTTTTTAAATAATATAATTCATAATTTTTAATAGTATAATAAATCAGTAATGTTTTGCTAAAATTGGGTACACTAAATTGGCATGAAATCATAGGAAAAAAAAATAAGGACGAAATATTTTCGTCAACGTAAAAAAAAATAAAAGATAAATAACGATAAGTGCACTTCAATTTATAATAGATAATAAACCATTTGAGGCAAAAACCTCATCAGAAGTGCAGTCTTTGATCGATAATTTATGTAAATTTAGACTCTAAGTATAGCTATAATATATTTGGAAATTTTTGATGTCATACCATCAAACTAAAAGTTTAAATATTTTATTAGCATGGAAAATGATAGAAGATGCTAAGTCTTCTGTATCATCGATAACTATTACAACGATTCAAAATAAAGCAATAAAAATGGCTTCTAATTTAAATGAAACATTTTCATATTTATAGCTCCCAGAGAATATCTGAGTACAAAAGGCTCTGTAAAAAGATCGAATAGGACGAGCGAAGAGAATATATAGTGACGAAAGCCAAGATGAACGTCCTCAAGAATTGATCTTTATAGGGTCGTATTTCGTTGTATAATTAATCAAATTATAAATAGCTTGCCGGAACTGTATTTTGCGAATAGTAGCTTATTTTGAATGTGCAATAGTTGCATCCAAGGTATTTTGATGAAATAAATAGTAAAGGTATTTCTGGAAAGGCCGGAAAAACTGGCACAATTGGCAAATATATTGCGTGTTAAATTACGTAACAAATTGTGTTCATTTGCCAGTGTATTCAAAGATTAAATAGTAGAATTAAATGAAACGGACGCTGATATCGTATGTACAGTGAGGAGTCAAGTGAAGAAGATGGAATATTAAAAAATGATAACAATTTAGAGTGTGATAATAGATGTAACAAGTGTTTAATATGCGTATATAAAATTCTTAAAAAAATACAATATGCATACAAGTGCATTCACTAATTTATTTTTGGCATATGAATACATTTTAACTTTGTCATTTACGCGGTTAATTGCAAGAGAACATTTAGTAAATTAAAATTTTAAAAATAGGTTGAGACAGAATTGTTAAGGAGTGGCGCTCCTGGAGTGCCGCTACATTTTTTCAAAAACACCTGGAGCGCCCCTCCTTTTTAAAAATGAGGAGCGGGAGCAGGAGCTAGTTCCTTTAGGGATGGAGTGGAGGAGCGCAGCTCCACCGCTTCTTTAAATTTAAGGTATACATTAAATTATTTTTAAAATATTAATAATGTTTGTTAATTAAAATTCAATAAAAATGAAATTTTATTTAAATTTATCCATTAATAAATGTTGAGCCGAGTTTTATATTGGTTTTTCATCTAATCATTTTAAATATTAAACATCAAATTTTCATTTTTATATTGAAAATTTTTTGGAAAATCTTGTAAGTCATATTAATATTCATTTTAAGATATATAATAAAAAATAGTTTTAGATATTATGGATTTAGATATCATAGAAGAAGAAATGGAATTTTCATTTCCATCATACAAAAAATATTTTAATTCTAAAAGATGATGATCCAAATGATCAAACAAATTGTTAATAACTCTGGGTTGAGATCTAATATAGCCAAGAAAAATTAGAAGCTTTTTAATGATGTCAGCTGAACGAGAGCTATTAGCGCAGATTGAACTAGAAGATATTCTTGTTTATTTGCGCAAAGGTTCAAAGTTAAAGAGAGATTTATTAACGTAAAAATTATATATTATCTTAATTCTTTTTTTTTATTCTTGTATTTAAATCTTATTTATATCTATTCACAATATGAGCTGAATTTATAAGTGCAGCAATTTTATTCTCTGTGTAAAATTTTATAATTGCAATAATTTTATATGTGTAATTAATTGATTTTATATATTGAATATGTATTCTCTTATATTTAACAAGTGATATATGTTTCATTTTATGGTGTAATATCATTATAAATCTAATATAAAATATATATGTACAATGAATATTTTTTTAGAGTGCATAATATAATTTTAGTGTGCAATTTCTTTTAATAAAATATATGATTATCATGTCATACTATATTATTTTTATTAAAAATGTAAATCGCTTGAACTTATTTTCAAAAATAAGAGGTGATAAAAATTATGTAATTCGAAGAAGCCATTGAAGGCCAGGTAAAAGCGGGCTGAAGGCCATCAAAATGAGGGGTATAGTGGCGAAGCCCCCATTAAAATGAGGCCGCTATAAAACACGCCCACGAGGCCGTAGCATCACCAGTCAGTCCCTGTTTTGCACTTCGATTAAATATTATGTGCATTTATATAATAATGAATAAAGACCAATAGTTAAAGTGCAGGCCACACAATAGAGCTATTGCCTCCTATCAGCGGCTACATGAGCGGGAGGGGTAGGAACAGTTTGCATCCTATTTTTTTGAGGGGGGTAGGCTGCTATAATGTGCGTAAGATAAATTATTTGGGGGGTTATCTATTGAATTTTGAGATGAATAGGACAAAATTTATATTAATACTTTTATTATAGAACTATTATAATACAATTCTTAGACAAAATCTATATATTGCAAACAATCATACACATTGTTTTCCAAATAAATCTTTCTGCTCTCCTTTTAAATGTAATTTAAAAGGTTTAGATATTTCAGCAAGCTCATAATGCCATAATAATTAATTCATTGTAAATAATGGAGGTTTTAATTGAATTTATTATCTAAAAAATAAATTCTTTATATTCACAAAATATCGATAGTTGGTAGTAGAGATTGATTAATTTAAGTTATCCTTTATAAATTGTCTGAAAAGAATATCAATAAATTAAAAGGGTAAAAATAATAATAGGGAGACACCGCCTCCAAAGATGGTGAAATTTTTTAAGGGGGATAGGCAAAGGTTTTTGAAGGGGGTTTGCATCCAGTGAAAATCCTGTCATGTAGACGCTGCCTCCTATGCATAGATATTTTTAATTAAATAATTATCAATTTAATTATAAATGCATAATTATCCTAAACATACTTGCCCTGTTATCAAGTAGAATTTAATTGTATAAATAACGTTATAATAATGATTATAAAATTTTGTTTATTTAATAACATTTCTTTTATTAATATGACAAAATTTTCATATTTTCTATTTTTATACAACATATGTTTTTATGTTATGTCGCTTACCAATGTTTTGTTATTTTATTTTATTTATTTCACACATGTTATTTTTAAATTTCATAGGCCAGTTTATGCTATATTCAGTTCAATTTATAAATTTAGAGGATGAATACCTAATAAAAGATAGTAATATCTAGAAATAATTCATTGGATACAAAGGAATTATTCCAATCTTTGTTCAGAAAAATTTTATACTTCCTATTAACACATGATATTCTACCATTTATATACTACGATTAATAGCCAAGAAAACGTTAATCATCAATTCACAAATATAAGCCACTAAAATAATATTTTTACAGTATAATGACAATCCATAAAGCTGGGCAGTGAAATATAATTACATATTTCTCCTTATAAATACTAAATTAAAGTTTAAAATGTTTTTGCATAAACTTAAATATGATATCCTTCCCTAGTTTATTTAGTTATTTTCTAGTAATATCAAGCCTAAGTTATCTATTCCTTGCAAAATTTAACATAATTTTAAATATTATATACTCATCGCATAATTTTATTTTTAACAATTCATGGCACAATACCTATCTTGAACCATCACAATATTTTGAACAACGACTTCCTACTGCTATAATTATTGGGGTTAAAAAGTGTGGAACTAGAGCTCTCCTTCATTTTTTAAAATTTCACCCACAAATTAAAATATTAGGCCCTGAAATACACTTTTTTGATCGCTCTCAGATTTATAATAAAGGATTAGGATGGTATAGGTAATAAAAATTTATTTATTATATCTAAATTATTTTGTCATATTTATTTAAATTATTTATAAAATTTTTATCTCAATTTATTTGTAAGTTATATATACATTAGAGATAGGTCAGGCTGGGGTGGACAACTTGTGCAAAATATTTTTATGAGCCAGGCCAAAGTTTTGTAAATATTTTTTACTGATAATTAGCCAATTTATGTTTTTCTTTTTATAAAATTATTATGGGCCAGGTTGAATAACTATATCTTTATGGGCAAGGAAAATAATTATGTTCCAGGCCAAAAATTCCAATAAAAAATTTCAAAGGGTCAGCAGTCAGTATATGTAAGGTAGCTCTATGCAATATGTCTTTCTTTCATTTAAAAAAATTATTGTGGTTCCAGTCATAAATGTGCACAAAATTATTTTTTAGTTCAGGCAAGGCAAAATAATTAATGAGTCAGGCCAATAATCAAGAAACCTTTTCAAAATTTATGGTTTGGTGTGGCAAAAAATAATAAGCTTATCTCATATAATAATATAACAAAAATAAGATGTAATTATTAGAACACAATCCCCCCCCCCTCCACCACCTTCCTACAAATATTTTGTGATGCCCTTGATTCAATCATTGCCTATTATTTTTTAAATCCAACTTAGAATAAAAAAAAATTTATTAAAATTTTTGATCATAAAAAACTATTTTAAAAATGAAGACTAAAAATAAAAAAAAATTAAAATCTAAAAATAAAAAAAAAATTAAAATGCTTTTTATTTTTAATTTTCCTAGCTTTGCTATTATCTTTTTAAGATTATACTATTCTATGTACAAATTTTAAAAAAATATTTAAATGTAGGGCACTGATAGCATTGATCCCAATCAGTAGAAATGGGTCTAGATTTTCAGGGATTCCTACGATTAATTTTTTTTAGATTTTATGATATTAGGAATATTCCATGCACATTGAACTAATCGGATAATATTGTAAGTAATCGTATTTTTCCCACATTGATTAAGATTTTAACAAATTTCATAAATACTGAAAAGCCTACGATATATCTTCAGAAATTGTATAATAGAATTTATTTCATAAAACCAACTATAACCGATTCTGAAATAGCCTTCACATTGTCTGCAAATTTCTGCACTAAAATTCTTTCTAAATTATAATTTAGCTCCAAGTTTTATAAAAAAAAAACAATTACGGCATCTAATTTTATTAAAAAAAACATTTATGATGGTATCAAAAGGTTTGGAAAAGAAGATATTGATATAGCTAAAAAAAATTATTATTCTATGAGATATATATACAAAAATGTTAGTTTCAAAAATAAAATAAATATGAATAATAAATAAAAACAACTTTCATTTTCTTAATAACGTTTAAAAAAATGTATGCAAAATGTTCACGCAAAGTGAAATATATTATAAAGAATGGATTTTAAAACAAAACAAGTAAAACTAACATATAAAAAAATTTTCTTTTTGAATGCTGAATTGTATAAAAAAAAAGATTAAAAAATTTCATCCTAAATTCATTGGGGTTTTTTTTTGAAATACTAGAATCAAGATAGTATATAAACCTATAAATGCGTAAATAAATTAAAGCCATTAAGGAAACCTAGTGATAAAGTTTTGAAAATTTTCACAAATTTGTTTTGGCTTTTTATTCTTCTATACAAAAATGAACATATTTTTCAATATTGATAGATTTCTGATAAAAAAATTTTCTGGGTGGATAAGGGAGGGGCTCATAGTCCTTATATATTTCATAAATTAAATATAACTTATTTTATTATCAATTTTTAAAAAAACTTAATTTATATGGAAATTTATTTATTTATTATATTGATCCTGTTGTCAAATATTAAAAAAATAGTTAACTTCTAATGGAAAAAAATAATATATTTGTAATTTCTTTTCTAATTTATTCATCATAAATGTTGAAAAATCCATCTAAATGTAGAAGATCGATGAACTTGCATATATAATAATTTTATAGGGGGTTTTTTTTCTCTTTAAAAATATACCAATTAGAACATTATATTTTATATAAGGGTTATATTTAAATCATTGGGTTTTTTAAAAAAAATTGAAAACTCGGTTAAAAAATCGAAATCTGACTTTTAAGGTGGATTTATATGTGTTCGTACATTATAATTAGATAGCATCTTATACCATGAATATTAATAACCCTGCGCTCGTTCAAACACCTTTTTCACAGAAATTGCGACTAGTGTTGCGTAATCGGCTAAAAACTACACCTAAGCCTAATAGGCGGCTAAGCCTAAAAATCGGCTAAGCCTAATTAGGTAAGCCTAAAAATCGGCTAAAACTAAAAATCGGCTAAGCCTAATTAGGTTAAGCCTAAAAATCGGCTAAGCCTATATAAATCTGCTAAAATTAAATTAGTCAAAATTCTGCATCGATGCTTAGTATTAATTATTATTTATTTATTTTAGTAAAATAATTTATTTTATTTATATTTAATGTAAATATTTTATTATTATCAACAAATAAATAAACATGATATGATTTAATATTTTTTATTTATATTATTATATTTTGAAATGAAAATAAATTTATTTATTTGCTGTTATTTTAATAAAAAAAATAATATGATGCTATATTGTAAAATTGTAATATTCTTTTTAATATAATTTATTAGTGATTTTCACAATCTTCTTTATAAATACATCTTTTATTGAGGAATTATATTGTAAATTTTATTAGATAAATAAACAATCTTTTAGGTGAAATCTTTTATAATTTTTTTATCATTTTTTTAAAATTATCTATTTTTTATTAAATGAGGTGGATTTTATGAAACTTTTTTGATGATTTTATATGATCTTTTTAAGGATAATATTTTAAGGTGACAATTGTCATAATCGTTATTTTATAAGTTTTTTGAATTTTTTTGAAGAAAATAGGTTAAAATAAGTATTAATAACATGTGTAAATATAAATTTAGTGAAGATGTACCAAAGAAAAGTGACAATTGTCATAATCGTTATTTTTAAAGTTTTTTGAATTTTTTTGACGACAATATGTTAAAATAAGTATTAATAACATATTTAAATAAAAATTTAGTGAAGATGTACCATAGAAAATTGACAATTGTCATAATCGTTATTTTTAAAGTTTTTTGAATTTTTTTGAAGAAAATATGTTAAAATAAGTATTAAAAACATGTTTAAATAAAAATTTAGTAAAGATGTACCATAGAAAAGTGACAATTGTCATAATCGTTATTTTATACGTTTTTTGAATTTTTTTGAAGAAAATAGGTTAAAATAAGTATTAATAACATGTGTATAAATTTAGTGAAGATGTACCAATGAAAAGTGACATTTGTCATAATCGTTATTTTATAAGTTTTTTGAATTTTTTTGAAGAAAATAGGTTAAAATAAGTATTAATAACATGTGTAAATATAAATTTAGTGAAGATGTACCAATGAAAAGTGACATTTGTCATAATCGTTATTTTTAAAGTTTTTTGAATTTTTTTGAAGAAAATATGTTAAAATAAGTAGTAAAAACATGTTTAAATAAAAATTTAGTGAAGATGTACCATAGAAAAGTGACAATTATCATAATCGTTATTTTATAAGTTTTTGGAATTTTTTTGAAGAAAATAGGTTAAAATAAGTATTAAAAACATGTTTAAATAAAAATTTAATGAAGATGTACCATATAAAAGTGACAATTGTCATAATCGTTATTTTATAAGTTTTTTGAATTTTTTTGAAGAAAATATGTTAAAATAAGTATTGATAACATGTTTAAATAAAATTTAGTGAAGAGTACCATAGAAAATTGACATTGTCATAATGGTTATTTTTAAAGTTTTTTGAATTTTTTGACGAAAATATGTTAAAATAAGTATTAATAACATGTGTAAATATAAATTTAGTGAAGACAATGAAAAATGACAATTGTCATAATCGTTATTTTTAAAATTTTTTGAATTTTTTTGACGAAAATATGTTAAAATAAGTATTAATAACATGTGTAAATATAAATTTAGTGAAGATGTACCAATGAAAAGTGACAATTGTCATAATCGTTATTCTTAAAGTTTTTTGAATTTTTTTGACGAAAATATTTTAAAATAAATATATATATAACATGTTTAAATAAAAATTTAGTGAAGATGTACTCTAGATAAGCGACAATTGTCATAATCATTATTTTTTAAGTTTTTTGATTTTTGTTGACGAAAATATGTTAAAATGAGTAATAATAACATGTTTAAATAAAAATTTAGTGAAGATGTACTATAGAAAAGTGACAATTGTCATAATCGTTATTTTTAAAATTTCTTTGATGTAAATGGGTAAAAATATAGATTGTAAAATTAAAATTGCCTGAGTATATGCCATAGAAAAACATATGGTAATAATAAATTCTTCCCCAAAAACACAAATTGGCATTTTATTACATTTGTTCATCGGGTCAGAAATTAATATGCAAAATTTAAATCATAATATCTAATCCTAAGTTAGAAATTATTATTTTTTTACCAATTTTCACCAGACAATCTTGTTTAAAATTTGGGTGAACTTTTTTTTCTATTTTAAAATCAATATCGATGCAAGTTAACTATTTTCGTCAAAAAACTTTAAAAATAACGATTATGACAATTGTCGCTTATCTAAAGTACATCTTCACTAAATTTTTATTTAAACATGTTATCAATACTTATTTTAAAATATCTTTGTCAATAAAATTCAAAAAACTTTAAAAATAACGATTATGACAATTGTCACTTTTCATTGGTACATCTTCACTAAATTTATATTTACACATATTATTAATACTTATTAACATATTTTCGTCAAAAAAATTCAAAAAACTAAAAATAACGATTATGACAATTGTCACTTTTCTATGGTACATCTTCACTAAATTTTTATTTAAACATGTTTATAATATTTATTTTAACATATTTTCTTCAAAAAAATTCAAAAAACTTTAAAAATAACAATTATGACAAATGTCACTTTTCATTGGTACATCTTCACTAAATTTATATTTACACATGTTATTAATACTTATTTTAACATATTTTCTTCAAAAAAATTCAAAAAACTTTAAAAATAGCGATTATGACAATTGTCAGTTTTCATTGGTACATCTTCACTAAATTTATATTTACACATGTTATTAATACTTATTTTAACATATTTTTGTCAAAAAAATTTAAAAAACTTTAAAAATAACGATTATGACAATTGTCACTTTTCTATGGTACATCTTCACTAAATTTATATTTACACATGTTATTAATACTTATTTTAACATTTTCGTCAAAAAAATTCAAAAAACTTTAAAAATACCGATTATGACAATTGTCAGTTTTCATTGGTACATCTTCACTAAATTTATATTTACACATGTTATTAATACTTATTTTAACATATTTTCGTCAAAAAACTTTAAAAATAACGATTATGACAATTGTCACTTTTCTATGGTACATCTTAACTAAATTTATATTTACACATGTTATTAATACTTATTTTAACAAATTTTCGTCAAAAAAATTCAAAAAACTTTAAAATTAACCATTATGACAATTGTCACTTTTCATTGGTACATCTTCACTAAATTTATATTTACACATGTTATTAATTCTTATTTTAAAATATCTTTGTCAATAAAATTAACGATTATGACAATTGTCACTTTTCATTGGTACATCTTCACTAAATTTATATTTATACATATTATTAATACTTATTTTAACATATTTTCGTCAAAAAACTAAAAATAACGATTATGACAATTGTCACTTTTCTATGGTACATTTTCACTAAATTTTTATTTAAACATGTTTTTAATATTTATTTTAACATATTTTCTTCAAAAAAATTCAAAAAACTTTAAAAATAACGATTATGACAATTGTCAGTTTTCATTGGTACATCTTCACTAAATTTATATTTACACATGTTATTAATACTTATTTTAACATATTTTCTTCAAAAAAATTCAAAAAACTTTAAAATTAACGATTATGATAAATGTCACTTTTCATTGGTACATCTTCACTAAATTTATATTTACACATGTTATTATACTTATTTTAACATTTTCGTCAAAAAAATTCAAAAAACTTTAAAAATACCGATTATGACAATTGTCAGTTTTCATTGGTACATCTTCACTAAATTTATATTTACACATGTTATTAATACTTATTTTAACATATTTTCGTCAAAAAACTTTAAAAATAACGATTATGACAATTGTCACTTTTCTATGGTACATCTTCACTAAATTTATATTTACACATGTTATTAATACTTATTTTAACATATTTTCGTCAAAAAAATTCAAAAACTTTAAAAAAAGCGATTATGACAATTGTCACTTTTCATTGGTACATCTTCACTAAATTTATATTTACACATGTAATTAATACTTATTTTAACATATTTTCGTCAAAAAAATTCAAAAATCTTTAAAAATAACGATTATGACAATTGTCACTTTTCTATGGTACATCTTCACTAAATTTATATTTACACATGTTATTAATACTTATTTTAACAATTTTCGTCAAAAAAATTCAAAAAACTTTAAAATTAACCATTATGACAATTGTCACTTTTCATTGGTACATCTTCACTAAATTTATATTTACACATGTTATTAATTCTTATTTTAACATATTTTCGTCAAAAAAAATAGAAAAACTTTAAAAATAACGATTATGACAATTGTCACTTTTCATTGGTACATCTTCACTAAATTTGTATTTACACATGTTATTAATACTTATTTTAGCATACTTTCTTCAAAAAAATTCAAAAAACTTATAAAAGAACGATTATGACAATTGTCACATTAAAATATTATCCTTAAAAAGATCATATAAAATAACATCAAAAAAGTTTCATAAAATCCACACCATTTAATAATAAATAGATAATTTTAAAAAAATGATAAAAGATTTCACCTAAAAGATTGTTTATTTATCTAATAAAATTTACAATATAATTCCTCAATAAAAGATGTATTTACAAAGAAGATTGTGAAAATCACTAATAAATTATATTATAAAGAATATTACATTTTTACAATATAGCAGCATATTATTTTTTTTATTAAAAAAACATCAAATAAATAAATTTATTTTCATTTCAAAATATAATAGTATAAATAAAAAATATTAAATCATATCATGTTTATTTGTTGATAATAATAAAATATTTACATTAAATATAAATAAAATAAATTATTTTACTAAAATAAATAAATAATAATTAATGCTAAGCATCGATGCAGAATTTTGACTAATTTATTTTAGCCAATTTTTAGGCTTAGCCAATTTTTAGGCTTAGCCGATTTTTAGGCTTAGCCTAATTAGGTTTAGCCGATTTTTAGGCTTAGCCTAATTAGGTTCGATTTTTGCTTAGCCGATTTTTCTACCTAAAATCTCGGCTAAGCCGTTTTTAGTCGGCTAAATTTAGCCGATTACGCAACACTATTTGCGACTCACCAGTAGGGATATCAAATCGCCATTTTCTTTATAGAAATATAAATATTAGCGTCAATATGTTTTTTCCGGCAATGTGTTATCTTTCAACTTTAAATCATTTTTTAAGCGCCTTTTTTTTTAATTTAAAAATCTGATTTTACCGGAAATTTATTCTAACATGCTTAGAATGCCTATCCTATGAATTGTAGACAATTTGTACGTGTAACTTAGTCTTTTTAAATTTATATAAAAAATCTATGGAAAAATGAATTTAAAATATATTAAGTCCAAACATTCTTAGCAAAATTGTCTGAAATTTATAGGTTAGGTATTCCAAACATGATAGAATCCATTTCCGGTAAAATCAGATTTTAAATTTTAAAAAAGGGCAAGTTGAAAATATAACACATCGCCGAAAAAATAGATATTGACATAAATTTTTTCTATCAAATTATACGATTTTTTAAAATTTAAATCAAGAATAATTTTTAATTCTATCTTGAGGTAAATATCCTTAGGCAAAGTTAGTTATCCAACAGGCACATTTTATTACACTAAAACTAAATATCTTTTTCCCTTTGAAATGAATGCTAAACCATTAAGATATAAAAAAAATTATCATAAAATAATTTTTAATTAAAAAATTCAATTTTAATGTTAATAATTTTTGAAGGTTTTAATATAATTAATATTTAGTAACTACATATGAATTGATTCGTAATATCAACTAAATATTTATAATTATCAAATGGCAGAAATAATAATAGAAATTTTTTATATATACTTAAAATTTATACAATATTACACTGATTTTCATAGCGGTTTATTATGTCAAGAAAAAATCCATGATCAACACAACACGGCATATAAAAATTATTTGTAATAAAAAATTTTACTATTAACCCATTAATTTTCTGATGATAAAAATATTTTCTAAATAGAACATTTGGCCTGGTGCATATCAGCATTTTTAATCATTAAGGGTAAAAAAACATAAAAATTATTTTTATACTGTAGCATAAAAAACAAGGGTATTTCGTAATTCATAATATAAAATCTATATTTTAAGTAAATTCATCAAGGATTTAATATAAAACGTGATTTGGCACATTAGCCATTATTATATCCTGTGTTTATAATAATATCTACATCTTCCTCTTTTGTAATTTTGGATAGATAGTGTGGCTTTTCATTTTGTATAACTAACTTACATATTCGTATTTGTTATGGCTCTCTCTTCTATAAAATGTCAAATGAAAAATATATAACCGTATGAAATGGCCAAAATCCAAATCTATATCCCATTGTTTCTTATGATGAAGTTTTTACATGAATGCTTTCCTCGATAGTATATCATCTGTTCTTCTAATCATATTTTTAATATAATAGAATTCCGATAAATATTTTAATATCTGGATGGATAAACTTATATTTTTCCTTCCGATTTATTTTTTTTTTGCATAAATATTACTCTGTTTTTGTTATAGACTTAGGTTCATTAGTTCATTATGCATCTCTAAAATTATATATTATTTAATGAATTCAGAAAATCTTTGAATATTATATTTTAATCATATTTTATATTGAAGTCTAATTTTATAACCTGATTGCATATTTTCAAATTCTATATTTACCAGGAAGCAAATGCCCTTTTCAACGGAGGAAATGATCACGATCGAAAAAACACCCAGCTATTTTGTAACCGATAAAGCCCCTCAAAGGATTTTCCATATGAATCCTAACATAAAATTATTATGCGTAGTTAGGGACCCTGTTATAAGAGCTATATCGGACTACGTTCAGTCTATCAGTAAAAAAACTGATCAAGAACCGCGATCTTTCGACGATTTGCTTTTCGACGCAAAAATTTATGCCTCCGCGACTAATATGACACCTAGAAAGATTGATTTTAATAATTATTTATTTTTCAAAAATGCGAATGCTTCATTGATCGGCGTCAAACCAAAGATGATCGACACATCATGGAGCGCTATAAAAATAGGTATATACGCGAATTACTTGGCCAGATGGTTATCCTATTTCCCGCGAGATCAAATATTCTTCGTGGATGGCGAGAAACTAATTCAAGAACCGTCGCATATAATGGAACGAGTAGAAAATTTTCTAAACATTACCCGATATATGACTTGGAAACTATTCGAATTCGATAAATCGAAAAAATTTCCTTGTATCAAAATGACTAATGCTTCTAGATCTAAGCTTTACTGTTTAGGAAACACCAAAGGTAGGACTCACCCATCTGTAAGCAATGACACCTTAGCTCGTTTGCACAATTTTTATGAGCCTCTTAATTTACGATTTTTCAAAATGATAAATACATCATTCGATTGGGGTTAATATGTTAAATTTATGAATGTCTCGCACATATGAATCTCATTATCAGTCTATTAAAACCTTTTTGATTTTAAAACATTGCTTCAATTAACATTGGAATTATTTATTTTTTTGTGATAAAGATGAAAAATATTGTTTAAATTATCAGTATTAGATTAGTAATTGTCAAATTATGCTATTTTATTTATTTTATAAATACTCCTTACCCGACTTTACAATGTGTATTATTAATTTTAACTTATCCAACTAATATTTTTTTAAATGAGATGAGTTCAATGGGTTTTTGTGTAATAGAAACTTTATTGTAGCATTAGTTGGCTAATTTTTTTTATAAAGTGTCTTAACATTGTATCTGGATGTCACAGAGGTTGAATGAATATTCGATTTATACGAATATTAATTATTAATATTAGGGTCAGTATTTAATATAAACAAATTCTATAAATATATTAGCCTGAGAATTAGGTTATTCCATATCCACTTTCGAAAACGACTTCTTTTTTTACATAAATCAATACATAAAAAAATTGAAATATTTAAAAAATAAATTAAATTAGAGCCAATATTATTCCATCTTATAGAAACTAAAATTTTTTAATATTGCTCCGCTGTAAAATTAATTCTCAGGCGACCTAGGTGTACTGGTTGGATCCTTTTTTTACTCAAAATCAGGACCTAGCTTAAAAATTAAAAAAAAATTATATCAAAATCAGTTTAATTTTTTTAGCTTCTCTATACGTCAGTTTTAAATAAGTCTTCATTCAAAATTCTCTATAAATGAATAAAAGCAAATTATCTATAAATTCAAAATTATAGATTTTATTAATTCCATATCATTTGAACAATGATTGTCTTAATTGGTTTGAATATAATTTAGCGAGATACGTAAATAAAATGTATTTAATAAAAAAAATTTAAAAGAATTGATTCCTATTTATTAAAATGTAATTTATCTATACCTGTGCGCCGAAGCCTCAATTAAAGGTGGCAGTTTTTTGAATTATTTATTCGGCTGCGGCGCTCTATTTAAAAAAATTTTTAATGAATTATAATTTATTTGGGCGCTCTTAGTTATAACACATTGTTAATATAGTTTAATTCATTTCTTAAATTATTTCATGTCTTACTCCTATTTAAATTTATGTACTTTCCTTTTCAGAAAAAGAGCTTGGAATTGCATTTTTACTCTGATCAGTCACATTTAGTAATATTCTATTGATTTTTATTAAAACAAATTATTAAATGCAAGCAAAATACAAAGTAAGAAATATAAAGAAATCAAATTTAGTCAAATTATAATCATGAATAAATAGTATTTTATCAAGGATTCGTGAGACATAAAGAAGTCCCCTTTGCATTGAGTATTAATCCAGCGATGGAAAAAATTCTTTCAACTAGTTGCAGGTATATAAAGAACCTTCCTAGCTAAATTATCAAGCCTGGAAAGTTGCAGTCGTTTTTTTCCCAAAAAGTTAGTGGATCCTCTTCTGTATACTATTTTGACTGAGCAAAGGATGTCATTCTTGTTCTAAATCGCTAATATTGTTAAAATCGTTGCTTGAGAGAGAATATTTATGAGCTATTTTAACTATATATGAACTGAATGTTTGCCCATTATCTTCAATTTGAATCTTACTCTGTGCATTTCTATAATGCTCTAAAAGTTTTAAATGTCTAAATTGCAATGATGTTGTAGAATTCGAATTTAAATATTTTGAAACAGTTTTAAGATTTTGAAATCTGATAAAGTAATGTCTCTAATAACGAATGTTTAAAAAAAAATTTTATTAATAAAAATATAATATAAATTACTTGAAGTTCGGTAATTGGAAACCTATGGTCAGACATTTTTTGCACATTTACTTTTAAGTAAATGTTATCTCAGCATCAGATTTATTGATTTGTATGTCTTTCTATTTCACTGCAAAATAACCCAAAATTTATTGCAGATCCCTTTTGGGAGGAAAGAAATTCCACCGGCTCTGAATGGATTTAATAGTGTATATATATATCCCATTCGATATTAAAGTTTTAAAAAGTATTTTTCTATTTTATTTAGAACATGATTTATAAGAATCTTGTTAACACTACGGATACTTTCTAGCATAATTAATGTTATGCCAACGGGATTTAATTTTAAAATTTCCGTATTAATTAGATTTGTTAGTGAAATACAATTTATATTATTAGCGTCACCAGAGATATCAAAATTATCAGAATAATCAATATCCAAAATATTTGCAGACATTTGCGCAACTCAATTTTCACATTCCAAATGCGAAAATTACATTTGAGGACTGAAATTATTTCTCTAATATTTTTAATCAGAATATTAATTCTGGGAACTTTTTATGCCGTCAACTAACTAAATTAAGAATTCCATGCCCTAAGCATTAATCTCCCAATCTTTGACATTGTCCAGCATAAGTTGCCATCTGTATTTTTTTTGTTATTTAAAAGTTCACCAATATGCTTTTGCGTCACATTTCTAGTTGAAGTTGGCGGTAAAATATTTTAACTCAAAATTTTCATTTAAATGATGAAGACTAAACGTGATATAATTTCGTAGCTTGAAATGATCTGTCCATAAATCTAGTGCTAAAACAAATTTTGGTCCAAATCAATCAGATTTAAAACATGCGTCCTTCTAGATGAATAAACATAATCTAGTGCACCCCGACTAATGGTTGTCCTATCAGGCAATTCTAAGGAGGAATCAATTATCCTATATTTCTATTTTTTAATAATTATTTAATTTAAATTTCAACCTTTAGAAAAACAGTCATTCCTTTATTGTTTATAGAATAAAATAGCATTAAATCTAAACAGTAGTGTGTTAAAAGCCCGATTTTAAAAAACGGCCCAATTAAGTATAACCAAATAACATTATGCCTAAAGATTTTGCTCATAGCTGGCAGAAATGCTTAGACATCTATTTGCCAAATCTCGATGCTTACATATTATATTAGCTAAAATCTTAATAGGGCCGTATTAAAAATCGACCCAAATGGGGCTTTTTAACAACTAAACAGCATATCAAAACACAATTTTACCCGATTAGATTTCATATTTATCTTATATCAATACAATTCATATTTTATTAAAAATTTTTGATTCTTTTACTGGGTTTTCAAAATTTGTTCATTCTTAATAATTTTGTATAATGGTTTCGATGGGAAATTGGAAATATGAAAAGCAATGTATGATTATTTAAAGACTATATAAATTTTTTGGGTAGTTAATTACGAGCATTATTTTTACTTTCAATAAAATTTATAAAATTCAGCTAGTTTTGATTAAAAAGTTATATTAGGTAATGTGAATCAATCCCATAAACTAAGGAGCCCTCATTTTAAAATTAATATATATTTAATTAATTTTTTAAATTCCAATATTGGTTGGATAAAGCTACAAATTTATCAAGCGGGTTAAAAATAATTTTTACATAATGCCCAGGCGGGTTACTTTTTTAAGAATCAGCATGCCAAAAATTTTAAATACCTATCAAATGATTTGTATCCTACCCAGTTAAATTAAATATTGCTCAAATTAATCCCAGATTTTTGAGATTATACGACTTAGATATGCCTATCAGACTGCTAAAAATTAAATGTAAGGTGATTATTGAATGATATTAATTGATGATTTATTGACAATCATTTAATATAATTATATTTTTTAAACAAGATATATTGTATTTATATTTATTCAGTATCCCAATCTCTATATATAATCACCGTAATCAAGAATGAACGTTTCGTATAATCTTAATGTTAATTTTTATTTTTCCTACCAACTTTCCTATCATCTTAATGTTAATTTTTTCTATAAACTTTCCTATCTTCTTAATGTTAAATAAATTGATGGAGACTATATATCTCTAATGTTAAATTTTAAGAAAATTTTTTGTACATCACGGGATTCGAACCCATGACTTAACGTTTTAAAGGCAAACGTTCTTCCCACTCAACCACCTTCTATATTAAATTTTATAATATAATCTTTCTTGTATATGTTATTAATTTGCTATTAACATATTTTTCGATTAATTTATATAAGTTAGATCTTAATATGTTATATTAAAAAGAATACTAACCCACCTCAAATTATGATAAGAATGAATATTATTAAATTTAAAATAGATTATATTTAGCCAATTGAAAAATAAACATTTATCTCTTATTAATTTTAGCATAAGTATTTATATTCAATCAAAGTAAAATTTATTAATTTAATTTTTATAAATTATTTTTATATTACAATTTAGATTTAACAAATAAATTTAAATTATTTACCACCCCAAAATATGGTAGTAAAAAATTTTTTTATCTCAACCACAATATGGGAGCTCTGCAAATAGTATAAAATACTTATTTATCAATATCTTCTCATGCCAGAAAATTAACCTCCCTCACTAATCCTAAATACTTATTATAATTTAGATTTAACAAATAAATTTAAATTATATTTAGCCAATACATTTATCTCATATTACCACCCCAAAATATGCCAGTAAAATTTTATCTCAACAAAAATATTTGAACTGACATACAATACCAATTTATCAATATCTACACTACATTTTTTCGATAAATATATATTAAACAAACATAGTGAAGGCTTATTTTCTTCTTCTGGTTCGAGATATTCTCCAGGAGTTAGGCGTTTCATATTTATTAAATAGAGGCTCAAGTCGTAAGTGTTTCTTGTGCTTACTTAGTTTGGTAGGGGGCGCCAATTTGAAAAATGATGGAGCAAATTCAATTAGCCATTTTGGATCGATCATACAAACTTCCCTCATATATTCTTTGGTTGTCAGTACTAATTCATGATAAACGACCCTTAATAAATATTTTTTACAAAAATGGTAATTTATTTCGTTTTAATTATAACCTCCATTTATAATTCTAGCTTTTACGGGAATTATATCAATAAATTGTGAAATGAAAAGTGTCAAGAAAATTATACCATTCTGGTTGATTGTTAAACAAAGCACTCGATGGGTGTATGTAAACGGTTTGGTGGTCTACGAGTGTTCGGAAGCCTTCTTGAGGGTCCTTTTTGGCGGCGTTTCGAAAAAACCCACTGAGAATGCATTTTTGAACTTGTGAAGCACTTTTGCCGCAGGATATAACATCCAATTTATGTCTGTCCATTATGCCCAGTAACTGTTTCCTAATGTCTTGTGCTCTTTTGAGACTCCTGCATTGGACAAAATTTTCATAACACCAAGCCTGGCTGAATTTGTTGTTTTTCCAGCAATTGTAAACAGCAAGGAGGGTTAAGTGATCACCCTCGGATTGATGAAACTTAGCCTTTCTCTGGTCGGCCAGCTGATATTTCTCCTATAATTTAAATAATTATAATATAAGTGGTTATATAAAAATAAAATAATTAAATTTTCTAACGATGTATCAGTTTGATCGGGTACCAGGCAGAATCTTACATGTGGTTCGGCCGATTCCATGAAGATAACTGAATATTTAAAACTAGTTAATATAAACTTTTTAAACAAAATTAAAGAATTTTTACAAATTTGACAAAGAATATAAATAACTTAGTAAACAAAAAAGTTCGTCTTATTTTTGATAAAAAAAAAGGTCCTTTTCTTTATTTATAATTTTCAAATGCGGCGAATCTTTCTTTCAAATTTTGAACCCAGTCAAATAAAATCGGACCCAGTACCGATAAAAAATTTGGGTACGGCCTCCCCTAAAAAAAAGCAATTTTCATCTTTAAGAAGACTATCTATAGTGAATCGCACAATTGCCTCACTGATGACCTAGTCGGATAACTACTCAACAATTATATTAGCGAAAGAATGTTCATGATTAAGGAGGGTGTAGGTATATATATCATTTTTTTATGGATTAGTAATAACATTAAATCGGTGTATCTCTAAATATATCATATAAATGAAAACACTTTGCAGATTATTACAGGGTTTTATTTTTCGATTTTATATACCATACTTACAAAGATATTGTCACAAATAAATATAAATGAAATAATTTTATTAAGTCCGTGCAATGTTCGACAGTTTTCTTTTGGATTCGTTGCAAAATAAAACAAAGCGTTTTTCCAAAAATGAAGATGCAACTAAAATTATTACCCCATGAAATATTATAATAAAGAAATTGTTAATAATATTTTTTTTTACAAATATCACATACTTTAGGACGATAAAAGACATTTTGCACGGACAGCATTGAAACGATTGTCAAGATTTCATCAGAACACCCTAAATGAACCGACATTATCAACATTTTAGATAGTTGAGGTTCCAATGGGAATTCCGCCATCCGCCTTCCAAGGCGGGTGAGTAGTCCCTCGTCATCTAGGGCACTGAGAGAGTGCAACTGTTCAAGTGCCATTAGCAGGGCCTGTTTGTAAAATGTTATAATTTAGGATTCATAAAAATTAATTGCTACTTTTAATTTGGATGTATGAATTGTTTAAAAAAAATTGGTTTCAATCTTACAGACATAATTATTTTAAAATTTTACCTACTACTTTTTCAAGATATATGAAAGGCGATATATTTTTTATAAACCGGTGATTATTTTTTTTAATATGATATTAAAATTGGGAATAAGATGGCCTTAAAATTGAAATAATTATATGATCAATTTCAGCTTATCTGATATATAAGATAATGTAATGATCATCCTAAATAGCCAAAACATCTACTAATTTATTCTATACCCATATAAAGATGTGACTAAAACTTCAATGAGCAAATTATAATATGATTGATTAAGACAAATACCTCGGAGGGTGGCGCATCCATGAAATCAAAATTTAGCAAATCATTGATTCCCATAGCCTTGAGTTGGAGAGTGGTGCTAGCTAAATTGGTTCTTTGTATTTCTGGAACTGGTGTTGAAAGCATTTCATCCCGGTATGCCCTTTCAGTGTAAAGCCTATAACATTTGCCAGGCCCAGTTCTACCAGCCCGACCTGATCTTTGTTTAGCTTGAGCCTTTTAATAAAATAATAAATATAATTACTATGTTAGAAGAAATAATGCGTTTAATATTAACGCGTTTTAAAATTTAGATGATTGATAAAATATATTTTTTAGTGGCACAACCTTGAGATTTTTAAAAAACCTCTGGTGTTTTAATGTGGTTGTTGATGGTTATTTTTAAGATTTTTAAAATAGAAATATTTTTGAGAGGAAAAAAACATATTTTAAACTTTGTAATTTCTTTAAAAATACATTTTTATCTGAAAACAAGTTAATTTCTTATATTATATTTAAATATTAATTAAATAAAATTTTAGATAATTTTATGTTTTAGAGGGATTTTTCATAGATATAAAATATAGTATTATTTCTGACACTCTTTACAAAAATTCTTATAAAATTTTACAAAATAATCATAAAATTTTTATTTAATAATATCTTTAAAACGTTTATATTTTTAATTTTAAGGTTAACATAATAAATGTCCGAAATATCAAAGCTTAATAGAAAAAAATTGAGTGATATAACAGTTTTAAAATAAGGTAGACTACTTATTATGCCTAACCAAATATTTGCCTAATTTTTTCCAACTTATCATTCAAGAGTTAAGTTGATATAAGTTATAAAAAAAATCACTCCAAAAGTCATTACAAACCTGAGATATAGGCACAACCACAAGAGAATCCATTCCTGTTTTAGGGTTGTAGACCTTCTGTTTAACAAAACCAGGATCTACCACATAATATATACCATCTATAGTTAGGGAGGTTTCAGCTATGTTGGTAGCTATAACAACTTTGCGGGAACCGGGTGGGGCGGGATCGAATATGCGTGTTTGCATTTCACTTGGTAAAGCACTGTATACTGGCAAAATGATTAGCTCCGGAACATCGGGGCCCAAGGATTTCATCCGTTCATAGAGAATTTCGCAAGCAGTGTCTATTTCTTCCTGGCCTGGATGAGGAGAAAAAAAATTAAAAAGCAAGTATAAATTTTAAAAAATGTGTTTAAAATTGAAAGGCGATTTAAATAAATTTAGTAAATGAGTATTCTATACACAATTTTTTTTTGAAAAAAAAGGCAAAAAAATAGAAAAATGTTAGCATATATTTTACAAAAAATGGAATTACTCTTAAATAGTTTACTACCTTTAACAGAAAAAAATGTCTATCACTACTTAAATATATACGATATAAAAAACATAAATTAATAAAATGAACTCAAATATGATACCTGTCAAAAAGAGAAGAATATCGCCAGGAGGTTCAGTCAAATGGATTTGCATTACGGTGATGAGCGAAGCGTCTAGATAATCAGTTTCCGGTTCGTTGGTATATAAAATTTCGACACCGAAAGTCCGGCCTGGAATGGTAAAAATGGGGGCTTCGTAGAAATAGGACGAAAATTTAACGGCATCAAGCGTAGCAGATGTTACAATAAGTTTCATTTCGGGTCGCTTTTTGATCTTAAAAATATTTTTTCCAAAATAAGTTTTTGTATATTTTTGGTAGTTAAAAAAAAGAATTAAGTTCTTGATTCTGAATATCCATTTTTATAAATAAAAATTAAATAAATTTATTTAACCCTCGAGAGTAAAGTAGGAGTAAGAACTCTGCAAATTCAATTTTTAAGCCTGGGGCCTTATTTATAGTTTAAAAATAAAAATCAAACGCATTTTTATCAAGCTAAATGATTCAAATTATCATTTTATTTTGATAAAAGAGTAGAATAGTTTTCTTAAAATTATAAGGCCCGAACACAGGTATATTTTGCAGCACTCAAGTAGAGGATTAGAATACCTTACTTCTTTCAAATCTATACAAGAATAAACTGAGTAGGTTGCATCATCCACGTTTTAAGCCGGTGAATATGTGCTAGGAACTTTTTGTGGCAATATGATTTTAATGAAATAATGCTTTTTAAATTAATAAACATTAAATAATAATAAAAATTTGTATGCTGCGTTTGAGTATTATAACTCATAAAAAACGACGTTTAAAACATTCATTTTATTATGATAAGTAAAAGTTAGATATATTTTGGAATATATACATTTACTAAGTTGTTCTAGGAACTATTAATATATATTTAAATAAAATCTAATATAAATTCTTTAAAATAAATACGATCCCATCTTCACTGAAATGGAGTTGATAAATATGATTTTTCAATACAGATATAGAGTACAATTGTTAAATTTAGACATCCCCAAATCATCTTGAAAATGGGCAGGTTGTCAATTATACTTAATAGGGATAGGATATTGTTTGGGACCAAAAATCTTGTAAAATTTGGGAGTCGCCAAATTGAAAACAAGTTTCGCTGTATGTTATTAAATATATAAAAAAAATAATAATAAACTGCTTGCTTAAGTAGCCCAAACAATACATCTGTATGAATTGTTCTTTCGTGAGCTTCGTCCAGCATGATGACGGAGTAGGAGGATAAGTCAGGATCTAATAAGCACTCCCTGAGTAGCATACCATCCGTCATGTATTTTATTAGTGTTTCGGGACAGGTACAGTCTTCGAACCGGATCGTATAACCAACCTGGTAAATAATATATTTTAGTTTTTAAAAAAAATGATTAACCATTGCAATTTATTTTATATATTAAAACTCTATCTGATTCTATTGAACATAATTTTAATATAATCTAAACAAATATATAAAAAATTACTCTTTTAAAAAATGAATATTAAAAATAGATGAGAAAAAAATTTAATTAAATTATCTTTAACCTTACTTACTCAGGTAGCAAAAAGTATTAATTCAAATAAATCCAGAGTTTGTGATTTCATCTTGCTATGCATGAAAATAAGATTTATTAATATAAGATTTTGAATTTTTAGATCGAATTTGATCAAGAATCTCTTTTCTTTAAAAAAAATCTTACAAATAGAACGATTTTATAGACATTGTTTCGCATTTTAAAAATATATTTATAAAACATATTATATATACCTCCTGACCAAGTCGGCAACCAAACTCCTCGGACACCCTCTTTGCTACAGACATAGCGGCTACTCTCCTGGGTTGGGTGCATCCTATTTTACCTGTATGATTCATAGATTGGTAGGGGTGGCATAATGAAATTTTAAAAAACATTAACAATAACAATCTAACAATTTATAAAACTCATTATTTTGTTGGGTTCAAAAGGTCGTATATTTCATTTTGTTTTAAATTACCCCTAACAGTAAATCCAGCCTCTGCTAGGTATTGGGTTATCTGTGTAGTTTTGCCCGAGCCGGTTTCCCCTATAACTATGAGCATGTGATTCTCCATGATAGCTTGAATGAGTTGCTCTTTGAGTTTGTAGATGGGCAAATTTTGTCTCTGTTCCAAAATTGAAGCGGGTTCCTTTTTGATGAAGGAACGCTGTTTTCCGCCAGCTATGTAACGTTTCCATTCGGGCATGTCGTTTTGCATATTGACGTTAGAGCCACCAGATCCAGATGTGGAGTTTATCGAAGCTTCAATGTGATTTAGGATAAAGAATTGATTATATTTAAAATGATTAAGTCATTTTCTCTATCAAATCCATCTGTGGTCAATAGAAATAGTCTTTGAGTGTTTATATACATTATCAGTGGATTCATTGATTTTTTTAAAAATTCAACTGGATACTTTCATAATTCTTTTAAAATCATCGTCCTTAAATCTATTTTTACATTAATAAAATAATCGGGATTTTTTAAAGAGTTGAATGAATGATGATCGATGAAAAGAAAATTTAAATGATTTACGATTAACGGAAAATGGGTCTTGCCATTCCTTGCCGAAACTAGATAGAGAGGAGCCAGCCCCTAAGCCCAATTCTGATTCCCTGACTTGTTGTTTGATTTCTTTTCTCTCTTTGGCAAGCGCGTTTTGCATCATCGCTGCTTGAGCTAAAGAACCGTCAGGGTTCTGGATGTTTGTTTTGCATAAAAAGAAAATAATATATAACTATAATTTATATGATCGTGATTAATAAGGCAAGAGTCTTACATTTATAAAAATGAATTCAATATATATATAATATGTGTATGCTACCAATGATAATTAATTTAAAGCCACTTTTATGTAACATTTAAACAAATTAACTTTACTTAAAAAAAATTAGCAAAGTAATAGAAATCAGGGTAAAAGTCCGTACCCTACAAAAAATAATATTACCACTCACCGATAAAATTTATAACTGGAAGACCAAACCTTGACAACTTTAACCGGTTCCATCAGTGCCTCCATTCCTCCTTTCCGCTTGCCGTAGCCCCTAAGAAAGGCGGGTTCGTCATCTGCTAACTCGATCTCTACATCCTCATCTCCGTCGTCATCATCCCCTCCACCCCCACCAGGCTCTGTAAGACCACCGCGGAGAGCAGAGCGGGTAAGCAAACCGGTTTCTTCGTCAAAATCTGGGTATTCCGACACGTCCAGCACATTTGCGGCTATCATCTAATAAGTCAAAAAAATATTCAATTTTTTTTCTTTTTTTACTATCATTTTTTTGTTACTTAATTCAATCGTTAATTTATTCTTTCAATTTTTTATATTTATTTTCTTTATTTCTGTTGTTAAATTTTAATCTTTCTTTGAAAGAATGCTTTTGGTATGTGTTAGAAGAGAAGATAATAAAGTCGGATTTTAATTATTATCCACAAATACACCATGGAGTGCGAATGTTTGCATATTGAAATTTCACATAATATTTATTTTGGATATGTGTATAGCCTGATATATAAAGGGTAGATTCATTTAAATATGGGGCTGATTATATTTATAATAAATGTCATGATAAATTGTAATGAAGATATAGAAATCATTATAAAAATCATAGTATAAAACCTGCTTAATTTCCCACTTTTCTGGGCTGGCTATTCTTTTGGCCTTTTTTCTACCACTAAGGAAGGAGCCCTTGTCGGCCCCCAAAAATGAATGATCTCCTTTCCTATCGTTCTTTTGAGCCGTGTCCGATACCGGTTTATCTGGATTCCGGCTCATATTATTGCCTTCTATGTCCACGTGGTCATATTCGAGACGAGAGCTTATAGAAGTGGGATTTAGATCCTCACCTGTTTGTTGATTTACGTCCTTTGTTATGTGTCAATTATGGGTAAATAAAATATATTTATGCCCTTGATTAGTGTTGTTAAAAAGTCGAGTTCACCCGACTACGACTCCGAGTCGAAGTCGCAATAACTAGACTCAAAACTCAAGTCGAGTTTTGAGTCGATTAGTCGACTCATTTTTACGACTCGAGTTCCGAACTTGAGTCGTGAACTCAAGTCGCGACTCGAGTTCTGAACTTGAGTCATGAACTTGAGTTTTTATCTTGAGTAATGAACTTAAGTTTTGATCTTGAGTCATGAACTTGAGTTTTGATCTTGAGTCATGAACTCGAGTTATGAACTTGAGTCGTGAACTAGTCATAAACTTGAGTCGTGAACTAGTCATAAACTTGAGTCGTGAACTAGTCATAAACTTGAGTCGTGAACTAGTCATAAACTTGAGTCGTGAACTCAACAGGTTATCTTAAATTTTATGAAACTCGATTACTTATATTAGTATTGTTAATTGGTTGGTTGTGTAATACCCAGATCTGGCGCTTGGCTCTAAAATTAGACTAAATCTGCTATGAGCACGAGGCCCATGTATCTTAAGTTATTTCTTATTGAACTTATTAGTTAAATATATGGTTATTACAGATAAATCGATAGATAATTAAAAGACCTATTGAATATGCAACAATTCAAGCGCCACTTTTCTATGAGTGAAACTATTTCTACGTAAACGGAAATTTTAATAACATGAATAGAAAAAATAATTCCTAAAATTATATTTTGAAATAAAGAGGTTGCTCGTAGCATAAACTCCTTCCTATTCCTATATTGAACTATTATTTTCCTGATTTTATTATATTAAAATCATAAAAAATATATTATTATTTATATAAAAATAATAAAATAAATGAAACAATGAATTTGTTGATCCAAAAAATTTTTTTATTTATTCGATTTTTTTATTGTAATTATAAAATTTAACTCATACATATGGATGACTTGATATACATTTTTTTTAAGGGTATAACTACATTCCCTAACGTCAAGGTCCATCTCCTATAAGAGTGATAAAAGGCCAGACTCGGTTCAACATAATCTTTAAATAAAATTAAAAATGGCAATAGAAAATATTACAATATAATTATTATTAGTCGTCATAACTGTATTCAGGCCCTCCCCCAAGTAACATGATTTTTTTATCAATCCATATTATATTCAAAAAAAAAAAAATATACCTTTATAGATAAGCTGATTTTTTGTCCAACGAGAGATATCACTTTAACTTTCACCTTTTGTCCCCGGGTTACTACCTCCGCTACATTATGGACTTTACCTTCACTCCTGATTTGAGAAATATGGACAAGACCATCCATTTTCGTTCTGAATCCCTCGAGCTGAACGAAACAACCAAAGGTGACTATATTGGCTATCCGGCCTTCATATATCTGTTTACATCAAAATCGCGTTATAAAATAAATTGAGATTTATTAGAAGTTATAAAAAAATATATATATTTGTTCCATTCGAGATTAGTGTTGAACTGAAGTAGTCGGCCACTTTTAGATAGAGCTTGAAGACAGATAAATAACTAGATTCCACCTGATTTATAAATCGATCTAATAGGAGACAATCACTACGTTTTTAAAAATTCGAATTTCGAAACGTTCTTAACTGGTATATACTGGTTGACCCTCATTATTCGAGACAGCTGAAAAGGCATTTTTTTCAGTAAAAATTCTATAAGAATAGACCTATTTATTGAGTAGGGCTGTGATTATCTACTTTTTTACTCACTGATGAAATCTAGATATTTATATTAATACTTTATATGAGATTTTATTTTTAACTTATTTTGTAAGGCACATTAGCAATTGAATGAAAATGAGAATTCAGATCATTCATACTTATCTCCGTTATCTTATATAGATGCAAACATAGAAATTTTACTTTAAAAATATGTTAACTTACATTCCCGACTTCTGGAATTGTTGGTTGATCTGGTCTTCTTTTTCTGTGATCAAAAGGTTCTTTTTCTTTTGTCTTCGTTGGAGACCGTTTTTGTTGACGAGATGAGGAGTGTTTATCCCGACTTCTTGCCCTATGAGAAGGACTCCTAGACTTTGAGCGAGTATTTGATTTTGACCTACTACGATGCCTTTTATAAAAATAGGAACTATTTTAAAATATTAGCACAATACTGTTGTTATTTGACAAGTTTCATTGAGTTTATATTTTTTTATGTAGAGGAAAAAAAATGTTAACTTTTTATTAATATATAGATCAAAAAATTACTATAAATAAAATAATCTAGTAGATATATTTTCGCTGAATAGAATTATCTCACTAAAAACATGTTATTTACAAATGTGGAATATTATCAAATCAGCTAAAGATCCAAACCAACCCCCTTAGATTTTTCTTAAAATTTATATGATGATAATAAAAAAACAAACGAATAAAATATAAAATTTTAATTTCCAACTCGTTAGCTTCCTGAGATGTGGTCACCTTTAAAAAACGCAAAAATTCCAAAATACATTATATTTCATTTTGAATATTTCAAAAAATAGCTAAACCCATTTTAATTTTATTATGGCCCTCTAAATTTAAAAAAGGGGATATATCGAAAACTAAAAATGGCCATAAAAAGAAAATTGCCATTTTTTCAATATTTTTATGAATGGACACTAGATTATAGGGACGCACACTTTTCCAAAAGTTATGACACTTTAAAAATTAGTCGTATGGCTAAATTTATACATAATTCTTATAAAATTTATGCTTAGAATTTAACTTCGACAATATGGTGTATCTAAATTATTTATATTACATAAGAATCGGTGGATAATTTTATTATAATAAATATTATAATTATTTTATAATCTAAAAAATTTTAGTAAAATGCTGTTAAAAATCTATCTCCGAGACGTGCTGCAAAACTTAAATTTTCAATGTTGCTGACAAATAATATAATCAATTTGTGATATTATTTTTTCGATAATTATATAAATCTATAAGTGTTATTTGATTTTCATAAGGGTTTACATGCTTGCTTTACCCTCTACACACTTAATGTCTTCTAAACTATCGTAAGGAGTTTTGTCATTTGAAATTGAGAAAGAATTCCACTCAACCTTGATTCCAAAATCATTTTCATGGTTGAAAAGGTTTATAAAGATTTTTTTAGCTTATATATCGAGCAATAGCTCCTTTAAAAAAATAAATAAAAAATTTTAAACCTAAACAAATCTCTCTTTCAAAAATAGAATTACTTTTATTTGAAATAAAATACACAAGCGACGTGTTTTAGGCAATCTGATCTAATAATGTAACTTAGATGTTTGACGATCTCGTTTTACGGTAATAAACCATAATAGACGAAGTGTTAGTGATTAATAGTCTAATGGAAACCTTGATCTTAATCTAGATCTACAAAAAATATAGTTTTGCAAAGTCTGATATTATTAACTAGGGCTGTACCGATATTAGATAATGGTATCGAATGGGCGCCTATGTTAAACCTTTAGAAAAAATATCGGATCACCTAAAAATTTAACCGATATTGATTTTATACATATTTTTAATTTATTTTTGAAGTTACTTTCCCTTTCTCGTAATAAATCTTCATAGCTACAATCGCTATAAGAATGGAGTTTATAGGGGTGTTAGGAATGTAAATTTGTTAAAACCTATCTTCGTATCACTCTGGGTTCCTTTAAAATAAGTTAATATATTTTTATATATAATATAAAAGTAATCTATTTTTTTAGTTATTGATATAATTTCGAAAAAAATATGTGAAATAACTCTAGGACCAGTGCTCGTCGCAGTCTAGGACTTTGTCCAAATATAAAGCAGTTTAATGTCCATCTATAAAAAAAAATTGAAAGAAAATGGCAGTTTTCTTTATATGGCCATTTCCAGTTTTTGGTATTAAGCTCATTTTCGTTATAATAAATTTTATTACATATTAAAGAGCTATATGATAAAATTTAAATCATAATTTTAGCTAAATTATATTTAGAGCTATTTAAAATTAAATGTAGTATTTTCGAATTTTTGCGTTTTAAAAGGTGGCCATATCTCGGGAAGTAAGCCGAGTTGGAAATTAAAATTTTATATTTTTTATTAATTAGAGTGGCGTATATATTCATCTTAGAAATTTTTAAAAATAGATCAGCGTTGAGTTGAGAATCGAGTTTTTTTTGGATGGTTTCATAAATTTGAGTATATCATAGGCTTATTAAAAAACAAATCGAATCGTAACGACGAGTAAATTATTAGGCTTGTTCTAATAACGAATAAAATTATTCTATTTGAATAATCCGTCTTATCGGAATCGAATTATCCGAATTCTTCGGAATAATGATTAGTTAAAAATAAAATTTAATCATTTATCAATTTCCATTAATAGCTTCTCAATTTTGAGAGGTGAGGCGATTAACAAGGTGTACATCAACTGCTTGTAAAAAAAAATTATTAGTTGAAACTAATCTGTCGCAAAAAATAAATAACTAGTCTTATAAAAGAATAAACAATAAGAAAAACTCTTTGCCATAAAAATTGGCTTGGCGTTATAAATCAAATTAATGTATGAATTATGTTTTATAAAATTATACGAATCGAATCCAGTGTTGTAAATGGCTCGATTTGAGCCGATTTTTTAAAACGGCGAACTCTATATTTTATTCAGAAAAATATTACGCAAGCATAAAGATTTTGTTTATAGATAGCACCACGTTTAGGACATCTATTTGCGAAATCTCGAGGTTTAGGCAATATTTTCCTGGCTAAAATATTGAGTTAGCCGTTTAAAAAAATCGTCTCAAATCGAGCCGTTTATCAACACTATCGAATTCATGGAATACGAATAGTAAAATAAATTATTGGAATCGAATACAAATGGTAAATTATTCGATACGTTAACGGATCAAATAGGAATATGCGCTATTCGTCGTTTTTGAATAAGCCTATCTGATATGGCATAATAATAAAATTTAAAATATATTAAAATGTAATAATAAAAACTTTACCTTTTGTGTCTTTTATTCTTATGATCTTTATGTCTAGATTCATTATCATCAGAATCTTTCCTAACATTCATATATTATAATCACAATTCAATAAATATTGTAACTTTATATCTGTTTGATCTTTTGTTAGACTTTCTAAGTCTTCTAACATTGCATTTGCTATATTAGAATCTTTTTTCAATTCCTTTTCTAACATTGTCTAAATAAATTTTATATGATTACAACTATATAAAATATTTAAATATTGTAAATTAAAGGCCTGCAATGGAAGGGTTAAAAAAAGACAGGATAGGCAAGTTAAAATTATTTTTAAAACAATGGAAGGGCGGGTGAATTTAAAATATTTCTCTGCCGAAATGAAGAAAACTACATTATATCTATTTTTAAAAAAAATTTATTTAATAATATTGCATATTTTATAAATTTAAATAATAAGATATTAAAATATAATAGAGCCAAACCAATTAATTAAATAATTTAAATTTGGAAGGCATGTTAAACAATTTATTGTCACATAAAAATATATATAAAACATTTTTTATAAATAATAGTATTATAATTGTTAAGGAAGGGGAATTAATCGTAAGACACTTGATCACAATTTTCATCCATCTGGTCCATTTGATTCAAAATGGCGATTCATATAAAAGAATAAAAAATGTAATTTTTTTAAAAAATCTTTTAAATTTTGATGACATTTATAATTCTATTCTTCTCTTACAATGAATTATCATTTGTTATCATATTTTGATTATTTTAATTTTTAAATTTGATTAGCTATGAACTATGTCCTATGCCCAATATTTGAAGTATACTAATTTATATTATAGAATATAAAACACAAATAATAAAAATGAATATCACCAAAATTATGAATTTTTAACGATTTCTTTCTTCTATATAATAATAATATTTAAATTCATCATTTGACTATTTTTGCTATATTATAATAACAAATGCCATTATCTTTATCAAAATTATGTTGTTATCTTTATCAATCAATTATTTATAACTAATCAAGGAATTTTTTTTCATTTGTACCATTTTGATTCAATCACTTAGATAAAGGTATTAATGAAATATTGTTATTCATATCTCATTCCTTTAAACTTTTTCAATTTTAAAAAAATTAAAATTTATTTATTTGGGAATATAAACTCAATCTGAAAGCAATCAATAACTTTCTTTGAAATTTTTTACAGATTGTGGAGTGGATTTAATGATAAAGTTAACCTGCACTTGTCTTGAAAGAAATTTCCATATTTTTATATAATTATTAATAAATTAATACTTTAATTACACAATATATAGGATGGCCAACATAAACACACCCTTAATTACCTTGTTCAGCTAGAGATTCTAAACACAAAATGGATAGTCTCATCTAGTGTTGTTAAAGTAATTAGTTATCTTTTTGTAAAAAAATAATGTTAACTAATTTTTTTAATGTAATTAGTAGCTGTAACTAGTTACATTTTAAAATGTGTTAAACAATATATACCTGATTATTGTGTTTATATGATGATTTGTCAAATAAAATTACTATTTATTAAATATTATGTCTCACATACATAAATTCCTCTATCAAATGTTCTAGGATTTGGAGAAAAACTAGCACAACTTTAGGCACAAATTTTTATAAATAATTATTATATTTTTTTGTGCAAATATATATTGTTATTTTTTTCCACTGATAAAAATTATATGGCAAATTTGTTTCAGTGCAATTATTTCTTAATTTAAATTGTGTTTTCAGTTGATTTCCTTTTATTAAAATTTTAAAAAATTTAAATAAGTAACTTGCAACTAGTCATTTTTAAAATTTAACTATAACTTTTAAATAATGTAACTAATAGTTGTACAAGTTGTATTTTTAAGAAAGTAACTTGTTATTTTAAAAGTAAATTTTAACAACACCAGTTGTATCTATATTTATTAAATCAGGAGCAAAGTGTCAGATTTCTATTTTCTTAAATGTATATCTCATTAAAATAATTTTAAGTCAGAATTGATATGTATGAATTACTATTTATTTTTAAATTTCATGGAATGAAATCTAGTGCATCTAGTGTTGTTAAACGGCTCGATTTGAGCCGATTTTTAAAAACGGCTAACTCAATATTTTATCCAAAATAATATTACGCAAGTCTGAATATTTTGCTCATAGATGGCCCAAAGGTCTAGACATCAATTAGCGAAATTTCGAGGTTTAGGTAATATTTTTCTAGCTAAAATATGGATTTAGCCGTTTTTAAAAATTCAAAATGAGCCGTTTAACAACACTAAGTGCACCCATTAATTTTGCCAGTTTGTGAAATTTAAAATAATAAAATGGGTTTATTATAAATAGGTGATCATAGAAACTAATTGCCAGCCAAATGTTATTCCTTTATATTCAGTATCAGTATGATTTATATATTATGGTTTTAGTATATAAATTAATAATCTTTCAGGTATCAATAAGCCTGACCCAAAATTTTTCTAATAAATTTGTCCAACCCAGCCTGATTGAATTTTTTTATTTGTCCAAAGACCCCATCCAATATAAAAAATATTGGTCCTCCCAGCACAAATTAATTTAAATAGAGAAAAAATTTTTAAAAATATTAGTGCCTTGTTTCTTGCAAGAATTTTAAAATATATCAATTTATTTGAAAAATTAAACATAGTTAAAAATTTAAGCACCCCACCTAGTTCAATTTCTTTTTAAAAATATTAAGCCAAACCTTGCCCAACCCAAAATTATTTTTTAAAAATAAACTAGGCAGGTTCAGAAGATCTCTAATAAAGATAATTACATTTTCATATTTTTATTAATATTTTGATTTTTAAATTAAATAAATTACTTTAGAAATAAAATGAATTTATAAAAATAATTGTTTATAAGATACTATTTTAAGGAGTCTTGACATCATTTATTTATTTTAAATTTTACTTACCCTAACTTTAGGATCATTAGGAATGCATAATGCAGGAAACGTTTTCTTTAATAATTCTTTTTTGAAATCTCCATTTTGGTCTGGATTGTTCAATTTATCTTGAACTTTATTATTTGCTATGTCTATTTTCATTGTGTTAATTATTCTGTATAAATTCGCCGTAAAAGAATCCTATCAAAAATTTAATAATTAATAAAATTATTTATATATTACTGAAAATTCTGCACCATTTTCATCTAACAATTTTTTAAAATTTTGAAGTGATGAACTTTTACCAAATAAATGAATAACATATTCAGCTAAAATATACTATGCATGAAGATGTAAATATATTCACTACCTAAATCTTTATCGTTAATCCCAATATTATTTTCAAGTTCAGTACATATTTTTGAAACTAATGATAAATACTCTAATCTTGAGAGTTCTTCCATGAATAAAAAAAAAATATGGATTGATGTTGACAGCTCTATTAGGTAGTAAGATCAAGCTAAATTACAACGGGTTTCTTGTGATGAAAGGGCTCTTATTTTGCCGACTATATTTTAAAAAACTTTAAAGTTCCACTTGACATATGTTATATAATGATTAGTAAAAAACATAATTTGTAAATTTCGAATATTTTTTTCTAATATATCAACTGTTATATATAGGATTTACATATAATATTATTTAATTTATACTAAAGTATTGTATAGCATAAATTACAATTTTATTCATACATATTTTACATTCGATCAATTTATTTTATTTAACCCATAAACCTTTAATTCAATTAATTTAAGAATGTATATAAATATGTTTAAGTTCATAGATAGTTAGGTGTTAAATTTTTAAATTAATTTAAATATAAATTTTTACTATTTGTTTATCAACTTCTCTGCCTACCTTTACATGGTTGCAGCGGAAATTATAAACTTTCAAATATTTAATTCTTCTATAAAAAATAAAAATTTAGATACTATGACAGCAAAAAAACTTATTAATGGTATGGATGCAATTATATGGGCAATGGGATTTATATTTAGTAATGACACGGATGCAATCATATGGGCAGTGGAGTTGATGCACAAATGGAAACATATATGGTCAAACTAGATAAAAGAGGATTCTAAAAGATTATGTTTATTTAATTCTAAATCTGAGATGATAAAAACATATTTAAAAAGAAAAAGTATAAAGTAACCTTTAAAATAGATATAAATTATTTAATTAAATTAAAATGAATTACCCAATATAGAATTAAAAATGCATTTTTTTGGAAATGGAGACATATGAAATCTTAAATTAGGGATTTATCTAAAGACAAGGGTATAACAATCTCAATACTCATAATTGTAATTGATTGATAGATTATAACCAATTTATTATTATATATGTTGATAACACTAATGTCACAAATATCAAAATGTAAAATAATAACGATTGCAATAATTGAGAATCAACAATGAGTATAAAAATAGTCGATAATATATTATTTTGTCTTCATAAATCTTATAAAGTTATGAGATTTTTAGCTAACCCCTAATTTAGAATTCACAATGTCTCTGATAGTAAGACACTTCATCGTATTTTTTGTCCAATTCGTTCAAAATGGGGATTAAAGGGTTTGAAATGGTAAAAATGTTATTTATTCTTTTGGATTGGTAAAAGTTTATTTTTTGAATTATTTCTTCTATGTTATTCGCGATTCAAATAGACAGCAAATTAAGAAGACTCATAGAAAATTCTAATTTAAAATAAATATAATTTATCACAATATGGATAATTCTAGGGGCGTCGCTAGCCTTTACAATCTCGGGGGGCTCAACTAAAAAAATGTTATGCCTTAATTTGCGAGCCTTCGGCCCGTTTTTGCCTAGCCTTGCCGGGTTTTATATTAATATATTATACTTTTTTTAAATTTGCTAACTCTGAACAATTATTCTGAATTTCATATTTTGTCATTTATTATATTATGCATATAAAAAATAAACTGATATAAATAGTGAAAACAATACAAGATATTTCTAAAAATAATATTTTTTAATACAAAATCTATTTATTACAATATAATATATTTTCGATCGTTGTTATAAAATTTTTTAGTATAAAGAATTACAAGTGATAAAAAAGGTTAATTCATTCATACATATGCCTCAATTGGTAATGGTTTTTAAAACCACATAATATAATATAATTCTTAGCCACTTGCATTGAGAAAAGGTCATGAAACTAATCTAACTCTCTGTTGCCATTTTATACAATGTTTTATAGAATGAACTAATAAGGAGAAATTTATAGGTCTAACCAAATCAACAATTCTTGAAGAGAATATAAACGACAAATCCAAATCATAAAACTATATGGTGGTTAGAGCTTCCTCTTAGATCACATGGTGGAAGCTAGATAAGTAATCGATAAAATTATTGTGTGATATTAACATTTTTAACGATACATAAACGGCTACACAGTTTACAATTATTGCTTATCTAAAATATGCAATCATATGCTCTCAGCAGCTGTAGTAATAGTCTTAAAATATATAGCTACACAAATAATAGATGCTGATTAATATGGAGTCAGCCATAATCCTCACGATGTTAACTCATATCAGAATTTATTATGTTAGATAAATTGATAAAACAAAAACACTTAAAATCTTTAGAAGAAATTATGCAATATTGAAGCCTTAAGTTATTTACACGGCAAGGATGCTATATTAGAAATGAAACATTTTTCAACTATAAAATAAGAACCAGAGTGTTATGATTAAAGCAATTAATATTTTATATATTATTGTCGCACCACCTCTAGTTGGTATATTATATCTTATAATAATAGTTTGTAATAATATAAAAAATATACTCGTATTAAAAATTTAACTCAAAACTGTTTTTAAAATAAGAATAAAATAACTTTCCTAGATACACGTAAAAAAAAGGAAGAAAAGATACCTAATTTATTACATTTTGTGGGATAAATAATAAGATGCATAAATTTTAATAATGTTTCTAAATGAATAGATGGCGTTAAATAATTTAATGCAAATTGTTACTTATATTTATTATCAAAAGAATTTATTAGTAAAATTTATTAAAAATTAACTGTAACTAGTAGAAAGCCCGTCAAAAATGACGGGGAATTAGATCTTTATTCATTTTTTTACGATAGATGGCATGCCAGGTCAAAGCTCACAATATTAAGAAGCATATAATTATAATAAAGTTTATCAAGCCCAGCTCAACCCTTAATAATTTGTAAAAGATATTCCCATGTCAGGTACAAGCTAATATTATTTTTGAGGTTCCAAGCCTAGTCGTATTCAATATAATTTTGAAAATTTTTTCCCACCTCGGAGATAGTTAAATTTTTAATTGATTTATCATCACATGAAGGGGAAATATCTGATTTACCAATTTGTTTAAGATGTAAAAAAAAACATGTGAATTCCGTATTAAGGGAAACTGGGAAGGCCTGGCCAAACCACTTATTAGAGAATCATGACAAATAAATTAAAAATAACCGACTCTTATACTTTTTTGTAATATGATCAATTAAAATTATATCTAAAAAATAAATTGTTGTTTATTATATATTATGTTAAGTTAAAAAAAATGATATTTATTTAAATTACAAAAATGCCATTAAACACTAATGAAACTTATATGCAAATTATTTATATATTTTTTAAGATATTTTTTTTATTGACATATAAATTTAGGATAATTTTTTAAAAAAATAATGAGGATTAATTATTATGTATTTGATAAAATTAAGAGCAAATCCTTGTTGACATTTTAATTTTTGTGGAAAAAGCGACAAAATAAATCTGGGCGGTTGTCTGGAGAGGAAATATTTAATGTATAATTTTATATCATTTAGGGTTGTAGATGAAAGTAATGACGGATTAACAAAGCAGTGTACAAAACACATTACGTCCTGATAAAGATGATATGCCTATGCCTTGGGATACTGGTAAAAGAGGAACGCAAAACGATATTTCTGTCAATGTCAGCATTGGTATCCCCCTCTAAAATAGAATCATGAACGACAATGTTAACTCAACTATAAAACGGTCGTAAATATTGTTATAAAGGCCACGACAGAACTACTGCATATTTTTCCATTAATAAAGTTGATGAAATTGGCCATACTGTACATTCAAGTTTGAACATTCCTCTAAATATTCATGATAGTTTTTAGAGAATCGGATAAAGTAATATTTATATTAACTCCTAGTGAAGTGAATGATAGTACGGAATTAAATGCTTATATTTGTTAAAAAATAGGCAGAGGTGGCATAGGGATTGTGGTAGTGGTGATAGAAATATTATTTGGAGAACTGGGTGAAAATAAAATAAACATAGATATAAATCATAAGATAAAAAAAACAAAATAAACCTCCAGATGAGTTCATTTCAAGCGTAGTTCTCTATTATTTTGTCTACCATTAACTCTAGAATGGGTAAGGCGTTTGTTTAATCGTCATTATTTTCTTTGCTTATCTTTAATAGATTCATCATGTTTTGTAGCAATGTGAGGGATGAAGGTTGGGTTAGCCTAGAAAAATAAAGAAATCAGGCAAAAATATAAATGAACATTATTATTGAAATAAAACGAACATTAAAATACTGTAAAGATGGGTCAATAATAGATACATATATCTAGTAGTTGGAGGGATATCATCAAAATGGGGGACTTATCGAGCCTATTATGATATTCTAAAGGTTTGTTTTGCACTTGTTCATTATTAATGGCTGATATATCAATATTTGAACAATTATAAAGAGGAAATAAGATGGGGATAGTTTTCTAGAGTAAAAAAAATAATTCTCAAGTTAATTTTATAAGGTTGGAATAAAATAAAATACCATTGAGAGATCAATTAACAAACTTAAAAAAAAATAGGAACCTTGTGAATAAGTATAGAATAATTTAAATAATATATAAATACCGTAATATGTATTTTTTTGGAATAAATATAAAATCATAAAAATAGAAAACCCCGTTTAGTATTTTTTATTGAAAGAATAAAAAAGAGAATTATTAAAAAAGGTAGGAACCTTAAGAATAAATATATAATTTTAATTGAATAGAAATAAATATTGTAATATATAATGATTTTTTAGAATAGATATAAAATCATATATAAAAATAATAATAAAAATAATGTACTATCTATATTTTTTTCAGCATTATACAAAATAATCAGCAGGAATAATAGAGCAATGGTGGATCCGACAAAATGGTAAGCTTTTAAAAAGTAGGATCCTTATAAATTGTTATATTAATTTAGTTAAATTTTAAAAATGTACTTGTATAATTTTCAGTTAGACAAAATATTCATCAGAGATAAAAGGGCTCAATGTGCGGCCCTACAAAATGGATAGCTTAAAAATACGAAAAAATTTTCAAGCATCCAAGATTTTAATAATTTAAAAAGATTTTCTCAAGACTATTTCAATACCTACCAAGCAAATATTAATTTTGAGAAATATTTTTTAAGCCCAGTCCAACCCATAATAATTTTGAAAAAATTTTCCCAAGCATAGAGATATTAAATTTATAATTAATGAAGGGGAAATTTCTGATTTACCAATTAGTCTACAGGAAAAATATATTTCTTTATAAAAATATTAACATAAGACTAACATTTAACATTAAAAAATCCCAATATAGGTTCAAGCCCACAATATTTAGAAAAAATTTTCAAGTATCCAAGATCTTAATAATTTAAAAAAAATTTCTCAAGCCCAGCTCAATTCCTAATAATTTTGAAATGCTTTCCAATATAAATATGAGATATATTTTTTAAGCCCAGTCCAACCCATAATAATTTTGAAAAAATTTTCCCAAGCCCAGAGATATTAAATTTATAATCAATGAAGGGGAAATCTCTTATTTACCAATTAGTCTACAGGTAAAAGATATTTTTTTGTAAAAATATTAACATAAGACTAACATTTAACAATAAAAAATCCCAATAAAAGTTCAAGCCTACAATATTTGGGAATAATTTCCAAGCATCCAAGATCTTAATAATTTTAAAAGATTTTCTCAAGCCCACCTCAATCCCTAATAATTTTGAAAACCAAGCCAATATTAATTTTGAGAAATAATTTTTAAGCCTAGTCCAACCCATAATAATTTTGAAACCAAGCCCAGAGATTTTTAAATTTATAATTAATGAAGGGAAAATCTCTGATTTATTAGTCTACGGGGAAAATATATTTCTTTATAAAAATATTAACATAAGATTAACATTTCACATTACAATATAGGTTCAAGCCTACAATATTTATAAAAAATTTCCAAGCATCCAAAATCTTAATAATTTAAAAAGATTTTCTCAAGCACATTTCAATCCCTAATAATTTTTGAAAACCAAGGCAATAGTAATTTTGAGAAATATTTTTTAAGCCCAGTCCAACCCATAATAATTTTGAAAAAATTTTCCCAAGCCTAGAGATATTAAATTTACAATTAACGAATGAGAAATCTCTGATTTACCAATTAATCTATAAGTTAACTCAGTTAAATTGAATATCTAAATAAAATATTAATAATTTGTAATATTTATTAAATAATGTATTACTTTGACAATATGTTAATATGGCCTCCTACAGTCTAATATTTTATAACCAATTATCTATAATAGAGGATTATAAACTATATGTCTACTTATTTTTTATAAAGAAATCTCTTATACTTATTTGGACTATTTTTAGGGCATAGTAATTAAATTTAAAAATGAATAATATAGTTTGATTTTAACTCGGCTAATTACAATATTAAATTTGTTAATTTTCAATTAATAAATGATTATATTTATTTATTTAATTAGGGTTATATAATAAAGACAAGCGGGGAAATTAGCTTCTCTTGGACGGTATTGATAGGAATTAGTAGGGTATTTGATGTCGGTTGAGGGGAATTGCTTTGTAGAATGGATATTAGTAGTGCGGAATAAGAATTTTATTTAACAAGCAAACAGCAGTTTTATTATTATATAAAATTAACTAAATTTTGATATCATGTAAAATAAACTGATAATATATAATTTTTTATCAGGTTTAAAAATATAAATCAATTACGATTACAATTGTTATTAAAAATAAAATTAAATTTAAATTTTAAGCAAAAAAATAAATTTAAAAGCCTTTAAAAACTGTTTTGATTATAAATAAAATTTTTGATTATAAAATTGAGGAGGAACAAATGAAAACTTTTAAAATATCGAGAATAAAAAATCTTTCTTTTCACAACCGTCTCTTATCTTAAGACCCATAACAAATGCGCTTAGATTTTATCCAGTCTCTTGAAAACGTCTCTTAATCTTCAGACCCATACTAGGCGCACATAGGTAGTCTACAGTCTCCGCACCAGCTTCCAATAAACTGGTTTTTCTATCCTCCACCATAAATACAATCGGGGAAAAGTCTTGTCTAAAATAGAATATTAGATGTCGGTCTTGAGAGAATTAGTAGGGATTTAATTTATCAAGCAACTAACAGTTTTATTATTATACAAAATTAACTAAATTTGATATCATGTAAAATTAAATGATCCAATTTATAATATAAGATCTCTTTTTATATCCAAATAAATCAAATATGTAAATATCAATGATAATATCATTGGTATAATCATTATATCATTATTATCTATATATGTATTATAATGCAATTATACATATAATCACTATATTACTACTACATGGAGTTGAAATATATTAAGCATATTCTCTTAAAATAAATTGATTTAAAAATTTTATATTGTAAGTAACTTGATAATGTTGCATTTGGAAATTAAAATTGAGTCATTGGCTGGTTGACTATATACACAGTATGCTATTAACCAAATAATAAGGGTCATAGCTAATTATTTATAAAAATATTTACCAATAAGTGATTTACATTGTTCTATGGTATGATCCTGGGATTTCATGGACTAAGATTAAAAAATACCCTGTCCTAAGCAACTCATTTTTCCACATCGGTAATATGATGTGGAATTACTCTATGGATAGTATATTTCAAATGATTAAAATATAGAATGTCATGTCCTTTTTTGGATTATTAGTAATTTTGTTTTCTAAAATTACATTACTAAATTGATTATATCTAGTTAGATTGCTAAATTTGATTATATTTAATTCTCTCAAAAATAATTTTAATGTTGTTTGACACCGTTTTATTTCCATTATTATGATTAAATAAAATATTCCCCGCATTTTAATGGACTAATCACAGAATAGGATAAAATTTTACGATGAATTGCACATGCGATTATAAGCAGGGAAATCAGAAACACATGGACCATCTCAATAAAAACCCAAGCAATGGACAATCAGGTAATGATGATGTTATAACAAATGAATACAACCCACCTCTGCAACGGAGTATTAATGATATTATCAGTATAGATAAAGAAGATGAAAGCTTACAGAAATATAAAGAGAAGCTCTTGGGTGAAGCTGTTCATGGGAAAAAAATTATATTAGGTCTGTTTTTCTAGTTAATTTATAAATTTTTTGTCATTAGATAAAACCAATATGAATTTTGTTTTGCCAAAGAGTTTAACATTGATTGTAGAGGATAGACCTGACAGAGAATTAGATTTAAGTGGTAATATATTATAATATATACATATATGATAAACCATATTTTCTAAATCTTATTCTAGGGGACTTATCCAAAATAAAAAATGACCATGTATTTATAAAAGAAGGAGCTCATTATGCTCTAAAAATTAATTTTTATGTCCAAAGAGAAATGGTTTATGGTTTAAAATATGTTCAAACATTTTCCCGAAAGGGAATTAAAGGTAGTACAAATTTTATTAAATATTTTTTGTCTTTAAATATCTATGCCTTTAATTTTTGTAAACTTTCATCTTTACAAGAAGTTCTGAAATGTGATTTTAAAATTGTTGAACTATTTAGATTGGATAATATAAATACCACCAATTTATAATTTGGAAGGTTTAAACTAGAGACCAGTTCTTCCCTATTTTGGATATAAGCAGTTCTGGTATGATATAACATCTTTTAAATTTCATTGTTTGAAATTTATTGTAAAATTAATAAAAACAAAGCACAAAAAATGGTTCTATCTAAAAAAAATTAAATATTAATTTTTGAGATATTTAAATATTATTTTACAATGGAATTTATACAGGGTTAAAAAAATAAGTCAAAGATAAATTAATTTGCATATGCTTAGGCCCAGGCTTAAGAAATTAATATTAAAAAATTGGACCTGGTTTAATGAATTATATTTAGGGCTGTGTTGATCTGCATATTTTTCACCGATTTGATCAGATATTAATTCAAAACTGATACCAATATTTATATTGATTTTTCACTACCCCCCTCTGTAATTAAGAAATCAATATTTTTTATGCAAAAAATCAAATTATACATTTAATTTAATTTTTTTATTTAAGACTATAATTTAAAAAAAATATATTATAATAGATAAAAAAAATATTACTCTGTAATTAAGAAATCAATATTTTTATGCAAAAAATCAAATTGTGCATTTAATTTAATTTTTTTATTTAAGACTATAATTTAAAAAATATATATTATAATAGATAAAAAAAATATTATAATAATGTAAAATAAATATACATAACATAAAATAACAAAAAAAGAAAAGTAAAAAGATCGGATCTTATTTTTACAGGTTTCGGTCCGATCCTATATTTTTTGGAAAACGCTAAATATTGGTGCCAATCCAATCCTATATTTAATATTGGCACAGCCCTAATTATATTATATTTTGTAGTGCTGTAAACGTTTCCACGAAAAAGAAACGCGTTACCGTTACTTGTTACATCTGAAAAAAGGAACATGTTAACATTACTCGTTACCTTTTCAAAAAAGGAACGTGCGTTACTAGCTTTTTAAAAAAGTAACGGGCTACTCGTTACTTAAAAAAATTAAATATATACAAAAATAATATATTTTTTTTCTGACAATATATAAAAAAATAAAACTTTACAAAAAGAATATATAAGATCGTTTTATAAAAAAAATATTTATATATATAAATAAAATTATACAAAAATAATATATTATAAGATAACATCTTTATGTAACAATTTTTAGCAACAATTGATTTCAAAATTTTGATCAGACAAACAAGAGTGCTTAGTGCTCAACACAGCTGGTTAAATAATGGGATGTTATATATAGTATTTTAATAATAAATAAAATCTATAAAGAAATTCTCTGTAAAATTTTGTTATTGGATAAATCCTGGCTACGCCACTATTTCATTTAAATATAATATATATATATTATTTAAACAAGGTTTTTTAAAATCACTATTTTTTATTCTTTAAATTTATTAAAAATTATAGTCAAACCAATAGCAATACTAAAACAAGAAATAGAAGATATAAAAAACTCAATATAATACTTTGAACTAAAACCAATATTTTGTTAATCTTGGGTTTTTAATGTTGGTTCCCAGCCCAATACTGTAGTATAATTTAATTGCTTATATTTAGGGCTGTGCCAATCCACATATTTTTCACTGATCCAATCCGATATTGTTTTAAACCCGATTCGATATTTATATTGATTTTTCATCACCCACCTTTGAACCAAATGTAAGATTTTCTGTTAATAAGCTTCTAAGATATGGAGTATCGATATCCCCAGCCTTACTGGTAAACTCAGATGATTCCGCAGATAACGCATTTTGCAAAATTATCTTTGTCTTTTGTAAAATATTTCCATAATTCAGATACCATATTTAAAAATATTCTTTTATTTAAAGTTTAAATAAAAAAATTGGCGTTATTATTTAAAAAGATTTAAGATAATTAAAACTTTGGGTGTTCCTTTCTATTTATAAAAAAAACTTTTAAAATACTATAAATCTATTTTAAAAAAGAATAAAATTTAGAGGGTGTTGTGCATTGCATTGTTTAAAAAAAAATTATTTAGAAAATATTATAAAAATGTATAATAAATATACATAACATAAAATAACAAAAAAAAGAAAAGTAAAAAGATTGAATCGGTTTTTTATAAGTATCGGCCCTATCCGATATTTTGGAAAAGGCTAAATATCAGTGTTGATCAGATCCGATATTTAATATCGATACAGCCCTACTTATATTTTAATTTCATGATTAAGCTTTTCAAAATATTATGAAGGAATATTATTCTATTATTAAAGTAATGTTTAAAATAATGATATATTTATTTTTTTACCTTAAAATGCTTTTTTAAGTTTGAACTGCTGGACATTGAGGTTGAAATATTTGTGTTGGGACATAATTTACATTTACAAAGTGTAGACTTGGTACCATTAATGTTCTTTATTGGTTTTAAATATATTTCAAATTAGGGCCAGGGAAGAGTTAAATCATCTTCACTGAAGAAGTAAGTACTACGGATATAATATTATTAACACAAATTATAAGAATAATAATATCATTATTAACATTTACTTTGAATTTTGATTAAATATTAATTTCGACAGAAAATTTAACAACGAGAAGTTAAAATAAAAATGAAGGATATGAATTAAAACTCGGTTTAAATTATTTATATTAAGAATTAAAAAATAAATAAAAGTAATTTTATAATTGTGTTTTTCTTTTTGTTGATATTTTTTAAGAAAAAAGTAACGTATTGCGTTACCGTTACTCAAAAAAAGGAACACGTTACCGTTACTCAGGTAACTGGCGTTACTTTTTGACGTTATATCACAGCACTAATATTTTGCTATGAATAAAATAAAATATTAAATGGCTATCAAACTATTATAATTATTTTTATTCCATTGCTGATGAAGAACTGTTAAATATATAGAGTAATGCCATGTCAAATTAATGAAAAAGTGCATTTTTTGATTTTTGTCTTGCTCTGAATATGATGACTATAATTTGAACAGGGCTCATTTTTAATTTTTGGATTTAGGTATTCATTAAAAACAAATCAATTTAAATATTGAATTTAGTATACATGACCAGTTGCATACACAGAATTTAATATTGGGGGGGGGGGGAAATTATTTAAAAAAATTCCCTTTAGTTATTAAGAATATCTCTTCAGAAATTTATTAGAACTAGTGACAATAAAATATTGACAATTTCTAATTCATAAATATAAATGATAAAATATTAAATATATATAACCGGCATATGAATCACTATAAAATAAATGTCTCAAAAAAGAGCTTTGTAAAAAATATAATTTTTTTCTATTTTAAATTTGATATATTTTAAAAATATTAAGCATAGTCATGCATCATTTTCTGAAATTTTATTTATACATATTAGCTTGGTATCTTACAAGAGTTGTTCGCTCATTCTCAATCTTTGCAGTTAAAGAATGAGTTTCAAATGTGAAAAAGATCTATTAATATTACCTATATTAAATATATTTAAATGAAAATATGATAAAATAGCAAATAAGGTTTTGGATAAAATATATAAATAGGTGCTATCGCCAAATCCAGTAATAATGTTTCAATACATTTCTCTGCAATTTTTGAACAATCATTAATAATATCTGAAGCTGTTTCAATAATCAATATTATAAATCATCAACAAGTTTTAGCATTATCATCCAACTTCTATCCACTTAATTTCATTTCAGATTTTTAAATCCTCGTTTTTAATTAATATATTATATAATCTTACCAAATATTATTGGCCATTGGCAATGTTAAATTTACAATGTAAATTTATATCTATGGTAAAATATTTAAATCTTAAACTCATAACCCCTGGGAATCCAAAAGATCTGTTGATTTTGCAGGTTCTTTCATCAATCCCTACCCCACTAATAAGAGATTATTTGGCCCTTGAGATTCTATTAAATTCATTCCTTTGTTAACAATTGACTTATTAACAAAGAGGTATTATATTAGCTAAATAGTATATCTAATGAAATTATAATCTAATCTCAATGAAAGCTGATCTTATTATTTCTTAAATATTTTTTTATTGTTACTATTTCTTTAGTTACCATATTTTTTTTATGCCTAAATTAAATACGCTAAAAAAACACTTATATTTTGTTTATAGGTATTTAAGCCCAAAATAAACACTCTTTGTACTGTGGTCTACTTTCGCCTTGTTCTTTGAAAGTCGTTTCCTTACTGAACCGTTCCTTCGTTAAAAATAATAGAAATTAAACACATGTTTATGGGAAAAATAATATTAATTGTTTTAACCTTAATTCCAGAGAATATTCCAAATTCGGGCCGTCTTTTAGACCTTTCGGTTTTTTATATCGAGTTACTATTGATTAATTAAGTTGTGTTATTAGATGCATTGGATGGGTGCCTTTGAAAAGACATCTATGTCCCTTAATATTGATAACAATTGAGATCGAATTGTTTTAATTTTGAATATTATGGCATGTTACGCCGAAATAAATTGTACGAGTGGACCGTTCTATATGCTATATTTGGAGTGAGCAATTTTAACTAAGTTACACCCACCCCCATCCCTTAAATTAAAGATATGCGATAGACTAGCCCACAATCCTGTTGAAAAAATAGTTTAAAAATGCTATACACTCTCTCCCATTGGTTTAAAAATAATTTAATAAGTGATTTGTTTGATGCAATATTTTTGAAATAAATATATTCTAAATAAAAAATATAAGACTCGCTCTTCTCATTTAATATTCTTACCCCCCCCCCCCCCGCTCTTTATTTAATTTTTCTTATCGTTCACCTATTTAATTTAACTACCTGGCTGATTCGTTGCAGACTTTAACTTCAAATATACTCCTGTAGGCTGGTGCCTACTTATATATATATATAATTATTTCTTAAAATAAAAATAATTTTTCTATAATTATATTAAACACAACTAATTATGTTAGATCACAAGAAAGTAATTAATACCCTGGTTTTATGAGTGTTTGTTTGTTTGATATTAATAATATAAGATTTTTTTTATTATATATAAAATATTGATTTTAAATTTAACATTTGTTGAAATCAATAATTTGAATTACTTATTATTTGTATTTCGACAAATTTTTAGTCGACAAAACGGTGCATATGATCGGTTGTTATGGACCCAAAAACGATTTACAACATTACACAACGCCCATTGAAGAAGCCCCATCCGGGTTATTGGCTAGGGGAACATATAACGTTAAATCCATATTTATTGATGACGATAAAAGGGAACATTTGCGATGGGAGTGGGTTTTAGAGATCAAAAAAGATTGGGACGAATGTTGCGGCTAAAAATCAAATCATATTATTTTAGTTTTACACTTGATTTAAAAGATCAATTGTATAAGCTTTTTCGCGCGCTTATATCTTCATATTATGCAATTATTAATTGAATTGAACTATCTTTTTACCAATTATTTTATCATGTCGAATTATATATGTAAATTTATTTAATATTTATATGTATAAATTTTTAATTAAGCTAATCAAATAATCTCAACCACGGCTCAATATTAAGCAATCATTTTCATTTATTTTATTTATATTTAATAATAAACAACTAATTCAGATAAAAGAGTTATTGTATTGTATTAGATAGCGTCGATAAAAAATAGTTGTTACATTTTTTGGAATATAACGACCAAAATAATATATATATATATCATTTAGTTTCTTCTCACTTAAATAAAGCTTTCATATAGAACTTATGGTTAGTGGTTATTTTGATTTATTTTGCTAATGAGGGGAAATAAGGTATCCTCATTGACTTTGGGGGGTCATGGAAGATCCTGACACTTTGTCCTTATAGCCAGTCCACCCCTGTGTTATATGTGGTTATAACTTTATGGAAATACTACTTTTATTATTTATTTATTTTTACTTTGAACACTTTTATTACGCAATGATAATTTTTTATAGTTTATATGTATAATGGCCATACTATAAAATCGGATATGGGATTTCAAGTTCCTAAAAATAATGATTTGTATTTTTTTAAAATAAAAATTATTTTTGATGTAATTGGTTCTCATTTTGTCCATATTTTTTAACTTACCTAAGGTTCCCCTTGCTGTATATCCAAGGAAAGAGATAATGATTGGTATAGAAATATAATTAGCTAATTTTGAGTATTTTTTTTATGTCTCGGCGATATCAACCATTGTATTATAAATTTTTCAGAAAGGTGGAGAGATATAGGAAAGAAGTCTCATATTACGGATTTACCTAAAGGCCAAGATGCTAAAGTAACTATCTAGTCTCAGACCATCTGATAATTAATTAGAAGAATAATTTGTCTTTGGCTATTATATACAATAAAGTCTCCCTTTTAAATCAATCGACTTTTCACATTTTGTGCATGTGTGTGGTTGAACGATGTCACACCCAATTCGATATCCTATGACAATCTTATTTGTTCATCGGATAAGAGGTTGCCTAGGTTACCACTTGGCGGCGTACTCTCAACCAACCACTAGTATAATCCAGTTACGAAGTGTCTTGGTTAATACTAGGGAAGCATTTAATTTTTTACTTGTGTAGCGATATAAGGATTACGATTTCTATATAAGCGGAATTTGTCTTTATTTTTGAGTAAAATGTTCAAGTACTAAATTGTAAATGTTATTGTTAGATTTTGAATTTTTTCATTTGAAATCTATGAAAGATTCCACAATTATGTTTTTTACAATAAATTTTTTTCTTTTGAGGATGAAAATCTCACCTCTGTACTTGCGGTTATTGGAACTAAAGTTAATATGAATTTGCAATATTTAAAAAAGGCTTTTTGAACGTGTGTTATATTTAAATTCCAGCATTTCATCGATATTCTTTTTAAATTCGTTCCTTAACATTATCATAAATTAAAATAAATTGATAAATTTTTTATGAAATGTTTGGAGTTCGCCATCCAGTTTGCCACATTGTAATTATCGGATCGGACACTGCTAATTCTAAACTGATTTAAATAATTTAAAGATATCGTTGAATGGTACGCAAAAGCACTTTGCTGCACCAAATTTCTTCCCAGTTATGTTTTTTTTTGCTTCTCCAACGCCTATTTTTAAACGTATAATAACAAAACATATTCAAAAGGAATTTCTCTTTATTTATTAAAAATAAGCAATTTTATATTTGGTTCAGCTGTATTAATTTTTTTTAAATGTTATTTTTTAACCCAGTATATTAATAGTATACCTTTTTTAACATAGGGTAGTTATATTTTTAAATAAGTTAAAAAAAATGCTATTGATTTTTTTTAACGTAAAAAAGAATATTAATTTTTTAACATAATAAAAAATTAGTATTAACTTCTTAACGTATAATATAATTAATAATTATTATATTTGATGTTTTTTTTTAAATTATGAGAAGCAGTGCTTCCCTTGTTTTCACGGATGCAAGTAAAATATATAAGATATTCTATTAAATTTGTAAAATAACCAGGGTTTAAGATTTGCTCAAAATTCAAAAAAATTGAAGATTTATTGGCAAAAAAAAATTTTGAGCAAGCAAAGAAAATTTTTGAGGAAAATAAAAAATGTTTTTTATAAAAAAATCTTCTATGATTTTTCTAAAATTTTTAATTTGATTGCTCTAAATTTTCATGTCTGAGTTTGCAATTCCCAAATTTATGATATAATGTTAGGTTTCAGGTAGTATAATTTTTCAGAAAAAATTCAGGGAAAATATGAAAAAACTTCAAATGGTGAATAAAAATAGGAAAGGTTTTCTGGAATTTATCATTTTCTTCTATATTCATATTTAATTAAAAATTTTATTTGGTCCATTTAACAATTGTATTTAAAGTTGATTGGGGTCCATTTAACAATTGTATTTAAAATTGATTGGGGTCCAGTAATAAGTACATTTTGTAGTGTGAGTTGATTGGGCGAAATTAATATATAATATAATACTAGGAATTATTAATTTATTCCTTCATCAGTATCTTTTTGATGGTAGGTGGTAGTGCATATTAGTATGATATCTATATCTGAAAAGGGCTTCACACAAAAAGCAATTGTTGATGTTTAGCTATGGGGTTTGGTATTCTTGAGGCATATTTCTTGCTATTGGTCGAGTAATTAGGATTGTTTCTCATGATATTAAGAATATGTATGACAAAATTATTTTGAATCGTAAAATGTTAAAAAAATAATTTTGAAAAACATTTCATTAGGATCAATATTTTGATTTCATCATACATTTGTTGTAAAATTTATGGTAGGTTGGTTAGTAAACGGCATAACATCTCTACTCTATTGAATCTCTCATCAAAAGATTAAAATATCTTATTCCATATTTTAAAACTTCTATATTAATATTATCTGTAATACGTTGGGGTATTAGAGCCTAGAATTAAAATAGAAATAAAATTAAACCATAATATAAATTCTAATTAAACTCTATTAATTATAAATTAAACTATTATAAATTAACATAAAAGGAAAAAGTAACAAAAAATAAAACAAAAAGAAAATTATTAAAAATTAAGAAATTTATAAGCGAAAAATCAAAAGTGAATAACTCCAATTGTTAAGATCTTAAAGTATGAAAAATCGACAATTATCCCTCGTTTTCATCTCATTTGCATAGTATAAAACTTAAATAATAAAGTAATAATTTTTAAAACATTATTTTTGTTTGTATATTATCATAATTTGAATAATGCATTTTTTTTAATATATGAATACAACATTATCTTATCTTTGAAAATTAAGATTTTTTTTCATGAAAAAAATTTCATTAAAATTTTTATTTTATAAATAAAATGATGTATAGAATTATCAATAGCAATTTAAACAAAACATTAGAGATGTAGTTTACTATTTTTATAATAATGGTCTTTTGATTTAATTTCATAAGTAGCTGAAATAAAAAAATCCTTTTTCATTGTCATGAAAAGAACAATGATATATATAACATATGATTGGAAAAGGATAATGGCATATTATTGAATTTCATTATATTAAAACAATTTTTTCTCTTATTTTAAATAATTTAAAGGTAATAATTCTTTTACCATATTTGTGATTGCGATTTTCATGCATAAATTTGAATCTAAACTTTAAACAATAAAATTCAAAAAATATTATGGTAAGCGGAAAATGATTCCCCGGAAAAAAAATCCCGGAAAAAAATTCCCGGAAAATAAATCCCCGGAAAAAAAATCCCCGGAAATTAATTCCCCGGGAAAAAATCCCCAGGAAAATAATTCTTTGGAAAAAAAATACCCGGAAAATAATTCCCCGGAAAAAAATTCCCCAGAAAATAATTCCCAGGTAAATAATTCACCGGAAAAAAAATCCCCGGAATAAAATCCCCCTGGAAAATAATTCCCCGGAAAAAATTTCCCCACTATATATTGAATTGCTACATTGCTAAACTGCTTTGCTAAAAAGCAATAAATCATAATCAATTATAAATCAATCAAAAATTTATTACGTATATTTTTTTAATGATAATTTTTTAAACTTTTTTAAAAATATATTTAAATCATTTTTTTATTATAAATGAAGAATACTGATTAAATGATATAGTATATAATTTTATTTTTATTTAATATTATTGGTAAGAAATTTATTTTTCTAGCTTATTAAAACAAATATACATTTTATTCAATTTTAAAAATTAACAAATATATATCCGTAAGAGGGCGTTATATGTTTTAATATGTATCATTTTAGGAAACGGAATGATGATTGGATAGCACTTTTTTTTATATTTGGGTATATATACATATGAAAAACCTAAAAATTAAAAAAAAATTTTAGGTTTCTTTAATGTTTAATTTATGAGTAGGTTTAGAATAGTAAAACAATGGAAATTTTCTAAAGTAAATGTTGCTGGCGTTATTTATCAAAATCTCTTCATTTTTGTTTTATACGTGTATATTTACGTGCTAAGCATTATCCTAAAAAATATTTTGAAAATAATTTTTTGGGATTATGTTTTATATGTATTTATAGATATATAAAACAAAAATGAACAATTTTCAAATTATATTACTAGTAAATTTGAATCTAGGAAAATAATTCCCCGGAAAAAAAATCCCGTGACCCAGATCTGCTCTGCAGTATTTAATTAAATAGAAATGTTTTTTAAAGTCAAATTTCTTCGAGGATTTGAGATTTTAAATAATAAAACGAAAGTTAAATAAATCTAGTTCACCTTTACACACTTTCATCAACTTTTAGGTATTTATTGAAAAATTATTTTTACACAAATTTTAATCATTTTTTTAGAAATATGATAAAAGGCTTTTCACAGTTTACTGACTCTTAAATAGCGCCCACTTTTGTTTTTACAAGGATAAACTATTAAATAATATAATTTAATAAATTTTGTGGCGAAATAGGAAATTAGCAATTCAATCTGATACCCTCTATTTGATAAAAATTATTTTACTGAAGTATTTACCTACTTTAAGAATTTAACTGACTGAATACAAAATCACTATAAAACTTGCAAAATTATATTTTTTACTGCCCAATTTTAATTAAATACTGCCAAAAGTAATGAAAATGCTGACCACTTTAATCAAAATACATCCAGAGGTGATTATCAGCAGTGAGTATTATATTTT